AACATTAAAATTAGTAAAAGAAGGAAAATAGTTAAGGTGATATAGCCCATTGTTGATGCTAGCATACCCAACAATAATCTTGGATGAAGTAATTTCTTATATATGGCAACATTTAGGAAGAAAAATAAGCTTGCAGTTCAAATCTTTAATAAGGGTTTGAATTGAAATCAAATTGAAAGAAAATTTTGGGAAGATATAAAACATTAAACATAATAAAATCTTTAGAAAATTGAACAGTTCCAGCAAAATTGGTAGTGACACATGAGTTGTTAGACAACTTAATATTTACTGGTTTAATTATGTAAAAAGAAATGAAATGTTCTTTATTATGGGTTATATGATAGTAGTCCCACAATCTAGGATCCATAATTCATTCATTACCTGTTGGGTTGATGAAAATATTACATATTGAAAAGTCTCACATCACATTGGATAAACAATAAAGTGAGTGATAGTAGTTATATAATGGACTTAAAATCCATGAGGCTTCTCACCCCAATCAAAGACATTTAAGCTTGTATTTGAATTTTCTTATACTTTTGTAGTAGAATGTTGTGAGATTTAGTTTAAATTCTTACTTTGGAGAGTGTGTGTACTTGGGGTCAAGGGCATGAGAGAGTTGTCTATGTGTTGTAAAAATTTCACATAGTGTTATTATCTTATTATCATTAGATAACATTAATGATTTTTCTCCGGTTTTTGAAGTTTCCACGTTATATTCTTGTATTGATTGTTTTTCTCTTATTTCTCTATTAGTACGGTAATTCTCGGGGATAAATGATAATGTTCTTTATGATGTTTTTTCCCATCAGAGTGGTATCAGAACTTATGGTTCAGTAGGATTTTTCTTTAGTATGTTTTGTGGTTGCTGCTTAGTCTGATCTTCCACATTAGAAAAGATTAATTCATTCTTGCTAGAGAATCATCATTGATTGTTAAAGTTGTAATGTCATTTGTAAGTGTTGTCAAGTGTGACATAGAGAAATTTGATAGAAGGATCCATTTTGGCTTGTGGCAAACTAAAGTCAAAGATGTGTTGATTCAATCTGGATTACACAAGGCGTTGAAAGAAAAAACTTCTGACATGGAGGAAGAGAAATGAGAGGAACTAGATATGAAAGCTGCAAGTGCAATTCACTTGTGTCTAGCCAAGAATGTTCTTGCAAATGTGTAGAAGATGTCAACGACAAAGGAACTCTGGGAGAAACTCGAAGACTTATATCAAGCAAAGGACATCTCAAACAGATTGTTGTTGAATGAGAAGTTTCATAACTTATGCATGGGTGATGATACGAAAATCTCTGATCATCTTAGTAATGTTAATGAGATTGTCTCTGAATTAGAGGCTATTAAAGTCAAAATTGAAGAAGAAGATATATCATTAAGACTCATTTGGTCTCTTCTGTCTTCCTATGAGATTATTTAGCCTGTCTTGATGTATGGTAAGAAAACTTTGAGCTTTGATGAAGTTGTTGGTAAGATTCTTTCTGAAGAGATTGTCTCTCTCATGTTGGGATAAAAAGGAAGATGTGTTTATTTTAATCATGATAGACATTGTTGGGTTGATGAAAATATTACATCTTGAAAAGTCTCACATCACATTGGATAAGTAATGGAGTGGGTGATAGTAACTATATAATGGGCTTAAAGTCCATGAGGTTTCTCACCCTAGTCAAAGACATTTTAAACTTGTATTTGACTTTTCTTATACCCTTGTAGTAGAGTGTTATGAGGTTTAGTTTAAATTCTTGCTTTAGAGAGTGTGAGTGTACTTGGGGTTAAGGGCATGAGAGAGTTGTCTATGCGTTGTAAAAATTTTCACATAGTGTTATTCTCTAGTTATCATTAGATAACGTTCGTGATTTTCTCTCCGATTTTGGTGGTTGAAATATTGTTGTTGTTCCTCTGAATATGACTAATGTTGTGCCCATAATTTTCTAGTTCTTCGACAAGTTTCACTACAAGAAAATCGCGTATTACCGACGGATATTTACCGACGGATTTAAATCCGTCGGTAAATAATTATTATCGACGGAAATTACCGACGAATATAAAATATTTGTGGAATTTGATTTTACCGACGGATATATCCGTCGGTAAAATAATAATTAGTTACCGACGGATATATCTATCGATAAATCCATCGGTAATTTACAGATGAATTTACCGACGGATATATCCGTCAGTAAATCCGTCGGTAAATTAACAATTAGTAAATATTCACCTAATTAAAAAATTAAATATTTTTTATTTAATAATTTAATTTAATCATAATTAGATTAATTTATAATAATTTCTTAAATTAAATAATTTTAAAAAATAAATATTTAATTATATAAAAATATATAAAAATATTTAATTATATATAAATATATAAATATATATATAAAAATATATAAAATATATAAAAATATAAATATAAAAATATAAATATAAAAATATAAAAATATAAAAATATAAAAATATAAAAATATATGAATATATAAATATATGAATATATGAATATATGAATATATGAATATATAAATATATGAATATATAAATATATAAATATATAAATATAATTTATTTGTAAATTATTATCAAAAAATTCTGGTAGGTTAGTGGTTGGAGCATGGGTTTGAATCCTCGCCAATAACAATTCTCTTAATCTAATAATAATTAAAGGCTTTAAAAATGTAATAGGGGAAAATAATTAATAATAAATAATAAAAATGTAAAGGGAAGGGTATTTCTATAAAATAAATAAGCTATATAAGTAAAATATTTAATAAACAATAAAAATATTACCGACGGATTTTTGTTATTACCGACGGATTTTGACCGTCGGTAATATTAAAATTTCTTGTAGTGTTTCAACAACTTCTTCATTTGTTCCATAGTGAAAATCAGATTTTCTTGTTTAGTTCTTGTCTGTCACATTCAGATTCTCCACTTTTAGCACTATAATTACACATTTGTTGACTGCTCCGATGCATCAATACGTTGACAAGACCAACATATTCAGTATCATGTACGTATCCGATACTGATTTACCTTGATACTTAAAAACTCGTATCGAAAAAGAATTGGAAAAAAAAATTCATACAAAAATAGAAATAGAATAACAAATATTTTTTGGTTATTGTTATTGTTAAATTAATCAAAATAGATTCGAATTATTTAAATACGTATTTCTTTTCCTTTTATTTTTTAAGAGTTGATAGTTTGATGTTGTTGTTGCACCACTCTTGTTTCTCCATTGGTTTGTCTCTTATCTGTTCAACGTTTGTTTCTCATTAGTTTTCTCTCGCTCCTTTCGTCATTGGTTTGTTTTTTCTATGTTCGAGCGTGAGACTTTCCTCTCTCTTTTTTGTCGTGTTCTACGTATTTCAGCGTGTTCTAGTGTGGGAGATTGCTTTCCTTTTTTTGGTATGTGTAGCAGCTTCAACGTCTTTTAGAGTGTTCAAACGTAAGTTATTTTTGGTGTGTGCAACAGTTTCCATTCTTAATGTTGGGTGATAGATAGTATATTATTTATAAATTTTAGTTAATATATTTGGATTTCAAAATATAAAATATATTATTAATAATATATATTATGTTTTTAGATTAATTTTATTTAATAATTATTTATAATTTAATTTTTTTTAATTATGTTAACTTTTATTTTACATTTGCATTTTTTAAAAATCATATATATATTGGTGTAAGTACGTGTGATGACAACACTAATGGTTCTCCATAATGCAGACATGTAAGGGGGCAACGGAAGTAAAGCATGTTTTTAAACATAATTCTCCTACCATATTAAAATTATTTCATATTTAAAAGATGATAAAGTTTTACTAAAACAATGTTTTTCATAAGAGAAGATATAGAGACCGAGAAATGCAAATGTCTTTTTTTTTTTTTTCTCCAAGACGAAAGTGATAAGTAAAAATGAGAAGACAAACTTCTAGTGAAAGGAAAAAAAGACATGAAAACTAAATAATTTCATTTATGCTTTCAAGAAATGTAAAAAAAAAAAAAGAGAGTTATAGGTTAAAGTTACAAAGGGGAAAAGAGGAAAAAAAAAACTAAACAACTAGATTTCTAGTAAATAAAAATTCTAAAACCCTTTTAAGTCACAATAATATATAAAATAACATCAATATTATTATTTTAAAATAAACCTGCAACTTTACTCTCACAAATCAGTTAATTTCTTTCCTCATAGACCATAAATGATCCAATATTAATGTAATAATAAAAATACAATTTTATCCCTCACCAACTAATGAATTGGGTTTTTATTAATGTATTAAAATTTACATTTAGAAAAACAAAAATAATATTTTTACAATCCAAATTCATATAACATTTAAAAAAAATAACCCATTTTTAATATTATAATAATAATAATTTTAATTTATTTTTATTATTATATTAATAAAAAAGGATTAGAGGAGGAATTGTTTGGATTGGAGGGTTTATTAGAAAAAAACAATATTTTAAATAAGTTATTTTAATGAGTATTGACGTGGATTATGTGGACCGACATGTTCCATGTATTCATATTTTTACATTTCATAAAAGAGATATTTTGCTAAAATCCAATTAATTGTGAAGTCTATGAATAGGCTTGCGATAGTTGAAGATAATTTTTCTTCAAATCCTTTGTTTTTAAAAAGAAAAAAATAATTGTTCTTGCATTCAATGCACGATAAAGGCTTTTCTTTAGCTTAATCATAAATAAGAAAAATAGTGAAACTCAATTTTGAGTGATCCAATGTGATGTCCAAAATGAACTATTAGATTACACGACATGGTTAGGATTGAGCTTAAAAAAAATTATAGGAAACAATCTTCCGTTTGGGACCACTCTGTCGTAAAAACTGGATAAGAATAAGAAGTTTCATATAAACACGTTATGACTACAGACTGAACTACAATAGGTGCGAACTGCATAATAATAAATTACGAAATTACACAAAAACTATGTAAGGAAAAAAAGAATCTCCATCACTACAAAATTTGAATCACATGAAACAATTGAGAAAGGGTGTTCTTAGGTTGAGCTTAAGATCATCATCCTCCAATGGCATCAAGTTCAAGTCCAAACACAGATTCAACCTTCCACCGTCTTTCGATTTCTTGAAGATGGACAAAGAATCCGAATCTCTACGATTCAACAAGCCATCATTAATGGCAGTTCTATGTTTTCTCATGTGCCCTCCCAGGGCTTGTCCAATGGCAAACTCAAGCCCACAAATGGGACATGGGTGCATCCTAGGTTGTTGTTTCGTGGTTGGACTAGGTAACTCGCGATGACACGAAAGATCTGTGATCATGAGCTTTGGTTTCTTGTGACTTGCTCTGTGGCCACCAAGGGCTTGAAAAGAAGAGAACCTTCTATGGCAAGTTTTGCACTTGTAATCACCCATATTATTACTATCCCTTAACTTGGTTTCACTCTCACCAACTTTGGTCAACAGCATCAAACAATTAGCCATGTTGTCTAACTCACCCTCTTCTCTGCCTCTTTTCATGGCTACTACAAGTAGGTTGGTTTATCAGTTGTTTACTACACCAAAAGTGCACCACTACAAAATAATTGAGATTTGAGAAATGCCCTAAGCAATGAGAATATGAGAATCTGAAGCCACTACTACACTCTTAAATATATACATAATGAGACTAATAAGCTGTTGTGGAATGTGTGAGGAAGGTGCATGTATAGCTAGTAGTCATGACTATGACTATGACTATGACTTGATCCACGGAATTACCCGGATAAAGTGGCAAAAGTGCCCTTGTTTTTCCTTTGCGATTAAGAATCTTAAGACCAAAATGTTGTTAATTTGTACTAGGTTGGTGTTTGCTAGTTGCTACCTAAGTTTGCGTGACCGCGTATCCAAAGGGGCAAGACTCATTTGTCTGTTTTTGTTTTTAATCAAACAGATCATCAGTGAAGTGCAGACTTATCTGTCTCTGCTGAATAATGAAGAATGGAGCTGAAATTACTAGTCATGTAACTATGCATGTTCCCATTATATTCTCTAGAATTTCTGCAGAAAAGTAAACAAACTGCGTCGTACGAGTCTTTTTTTCCGTCCCACTATGTTTAGTATGATTGATTACCACTTTTCTTAAATGTGTACTTAAAAAAATATTATACCAGTACCGAGTTTTCATATTAAGAAATCAAAGTATATGGGTCTGAAATGGAGAAAGAATATATATTTGTTGGAGTGAAATTTTATATCAATTTCAAAGAAAAAAAAGTTTTTGAAATGGAATAAAGAATAATTATGGAAGATGGTGGAGCTATTAAGCATAACGTGTGGGCCTAGTAAAATTTGACGATATGAAAGAAAGAAGAAAGTACAGTAGTGTATAGATTAAGCAGCAATATAATATAGAAAATACTGAATAAATATCCACATATCTTTCTCAGTATTTTCTTATCATATTTATTATTTTTCTCTCTATTTCTCTCCATCGGGACATATTGAAACATCTATAGCTTATGAATTATTTATCTTAATTTTGTAAATTTTATAATGTTAGATAGCATCCACATAAAAATGAATACCAATGTTGAAATTTGTGATATGAGTGTTTTAATTTTATGGATCTACAGTTAAATTATATATTAATATAGTATAAAAAAATGTTTTTAATGTGGGTATAAATCCGTTTGAGTATATACTTAATTATTTTTTTTATTAATGTATTTCATTTATAACATAAATTTTAAACACAAATTATTATTTACACAAGTATTTTGCTTGAACAACAAATTAACCTTCTTAATTATTTTTTTTCCCATGTCAGATTGTTTATTACAATTATAATTCATACATTTTAGAATGAAAAAAGTAATAATTTTGCAATATAAAGTAAATAAGCTGTGGAAAAAAATATATTGACGGTAAGAAAAATAATATATATATATATATATATATATATATATATATATATATATATATATATAAGTAGTATTATATTAATAAAAATTATAAATTTATTATTTTACATTGGATTCTTTGTATATTAATACTCAAGTAAAAGTTGGATTGAATGCTTAATTGGGAATTGCAAACGTGTGTGACAGGCATTCAACGTATGACATTGTGCATCGATTTAATCAAACTACCTACGCGTTATGCTCCGTCCACGCTTTTGCGCGTAAAATTAAAAGCGCGTGAAATTTTCACGCATCTGTATGGAGAAGGAAAGAAAATATACATTAAAAGAAAATGAAAGTTGAGATTTTTCTACTGTGCTGTCTCTTCATGATCTGAATCCAGTTCACTTATCTTTTTAATTGATGATTTTCTTTGAACCATGTCACAGTCTAATAGACAACAAGGTAACAAAATTTCTTGTTAAGGTATGTTGTTGGAGAAAATCAGTATGTTATGTCTAGATCTTTATTTATTATTTTAAATGATATTAAATATTTTAATATTATATTCCATACATAAAAAATAATATTTGGGGTTTACACATGTAGAGTACTTACTCAACTACATCATGAAAGTCCAAATCATTACACTAAATACTGGGTCATTTCACCGATCTAGAATTCACCCTTTTCTTTGGTTTGTAATAAGAACTTTCCAAATTCAGGTAACATAAGACTCTGTCTTATTTTACTTTTTAAGAGATATATCTTACATCATTTTGAAGATTTTTATGTAAGTTTTGTTACTTATTTATAAAATAAGAATGAGAGATTTATTATTTATAGTTTTTTATTTTAAAAAATAAAATTATAATTTTTAAAAAATTTAATGATTAAAATAAATTATTAATTTATATTATTAGATTTTAAAAAGTAAGAATAAATAACATACTCAAAACTATTTAAAAATAAAACTATCTATTTAAAAAATTATATAAATATACTAAGCAAATTTGTATAGTTCTTTATTATATTTAATAAAAAATTATTCAAATTCCATGAAATATATTAGATGAGTTAAAAAAATATGGTCTTTATGTATCTTCAATTTTTTTTTCTCCTGACTCAACAAGGTTGAGTCTTTCCACCTTTTATAAAATATTTTTTTAGAAAACACAAGTTAAAAACATTCTCGAATGTTTCTTCAGATATATTTTAGTTGCAAACAAAATATAAGAAACTAATATTCTTACGATAACCGTGGATGACGACACTCTATTTGAAGTGATGAAAGCTAGTTATATTCTTGAAAAAAAAATCAATTTTTTTTTTATAAACGAGTGATTTTTTTTTTAACTTCTTGAAAGGAACTAGGTGTCAGTGTATCTTCCTCTAATGTATTTTTTTTTCTGATAACAAAATTGACATAAATTATAGTTTAATTTGAGAATATAAAATAAATACAAACTAGATATAAAAACAAAATTAATCACTGATATTTTTCAATGTTTTTTTTTAATATAATCTCGAAAAAAATCATCGAATATGTTAACACATAGCACCGAATATTTGGTCTTCGTAATTTTGTTTTAATAACTTAATATATTATTTTAAAAAATTAGAATATGCAAATGAGAATTATATTTAAATATTTTATTTTTTTAAATTGTATTATTCTTTTAAAATTAATCGAATATAATTAAGTTAGTGTTTGTATACTCTATTCTCTGCAACTTTCATAACACAACATTATGTTCATAATAGAAAGAAATTGAACTTTAACTCCAATTTGAAGTGAATATTATAATATAGTTTAATATTATATATATATATATATATATATATATATATATATATATATATATATATATTATGTTTTCAAATATGGGAATCAAATATTAATTTATTTAAACTTATTTTATTTAATCAAATATGGGAAGAGCAGGTTACCATTAAATTTTTTAAAATATTTATATATTAAAATTAAAATAATTATAATTAAAATATTATAAATATGTATATTTGTCAAAAAATGTAAATATATTATAATATTATAATTTAAATTATAAAATTATTAATTATAATGAAATATTTTAATATATATTTATAATAATATTTAAAATTTATTTAATAAAAATATTAATTAATAAATAAAAATTATTAATATAATTAAAATATTTTTTTAATTAATATAAAAAATATATTTATGAACTGACCTATTAGTAACGTGTGACTCTCGAATGTTTTGTCCTGTTAGAAGGTCTTTAAAGTAAAAGTATTATTTAATATAAACCTACACCTATGAAATTTTTTTTTTAATTTTAAATATATGTGTTTAAGGTTTATTTTTAGTATTTTTATTTATAAAAAGGTATTTAAAAAAATCTAATTTTTCTTGCTCCTTTATTCTAAAAAATTTAAATGTTGAATTAGTTTATTTTTTTTTATTTTTTGCAAGATCACTCTTTTTATCTAGATTATTGTCACCTAGAACGTATCGAGTAAGAATATCATAAGTGAGACTAAAAATAATAAATATGTAAGCATTACAATTTATATTAATATATTTGTGATATTAAAATATATAAAATATATTAGATATTACTTTTTTCTAGAAAAAATTATTTTAAAATACATCATTTGATAAAATTTAAGATTATATTAATTACTATTTTATTAATTCAATTCTATTTATTATAAAAAATTATAAAATATTTTAAATATTTTGTTAAAAATATTAAAAAAATAATTATCGTAATTTAATTTAAAATATTATATATATTTTTAAATGAACAAATAAATAATGAATTTTTATCTAATATATTTATTATATATATATATATATATATATTCTTTTAAATAAATAACATTTTATAAATTTCTTCGATGTATTAATAATGAATAGAATGAAAAAACTTGAGCATGGGGATGATGATTCTATCATTATTGGTTGTGTATGTGTTGTTGTACCTAATGCTTTTAACTTTCTTGATGAAACATGGACCACTGGGTCCCCCTTTCATTATGAGTATTAAGACTCTTTTAACTTCATTAGATAACACCTTTTTCATTTTCAAGAAAACTTTTTTATACTTTAAATATGGCACACTTCTCTAAAAATACTCTTTTTTATACCATCTAAGTTAATTAATAAGTAATTTTTTTTAACCACTTTAATTTCTTATTTTTCAATTATTATAAACAAATGACTTCTTTCTGTTTAAAATTCTCATGTTCTTCTTTTCAACTTTCTTGAACAATCAAAATATCTATTTTTCATTTTCTGTATACTTTAATATCCCCTTCTACTATGTCCTTCAAATTTCATTCAAAATTTTACTAAAGTTTAAATTAATTAATTTGTATCTCAAATCCACTAATCTTCAACTATTTGAATACAAAACTAAATATCCACGATTTTAAGCTGATGAAAAAAAAAAAAAAACAAGAGGTGTTTGTTTGTTTTTTCAAATAAAAACAATATAATTTGTTCTATGTGCTGCACACACTGTCTTAATTTTGCTGTCTTAATTTGTTTGTACTGTACACAGTTTTTTTTTTTTTTTTATTCCACAGTATCTGAACCAGACACAGAAAAGGTGGATTAACTGATTTTTATTTTTTTAATGGTTTTTTTTTTTTACAGAAAATCTTGCTCATAATACAAAATTATTACCGGGGATGATTCCACAAATTTTTATACATAACAATAAATTAAATAAAACTTTTAAATTATTCCATGGTTGTTCTTCAAATATATAAATTGATTCGGATACAAACACAATAGCAGAAGAACAATTTTTTTTTTTATTTCTCGAGGATGGACTAAGAAAGTTATAAACTGATACATTTCTCCTAGAAATATCAAATATTGAAAAATTAAATTATTTTAATAATTAATATAGTAATAATAATAAAATTTAGAATGATTTATTTATTTTAAGAACAAAAATTGTTTATTATTTTATTTATTATTTTTTAATATAATTATTATTTTAAATTATTAAATATAAAAATAAATAATTAAAATAAGAATAAACCTCTAATTCTTGTTTTTTAATGTCAATTTATCTTTTCTGATACATTATATTTAAATACTAGTATGATTTAAAACATGTTCGAATGCAAATTTATGATGTTGCATATTTTTCTTAGGTCACAAATTGATCTCAAGTAGTACTTAAGTGACTTGCTCACTGGAAAAAAAAATGAAAGGAATTGGGAATTCATGAAGAAGGTAGTTGAAGGCAAAGTATTTTTACTCAAACAACTTTTTTTCTTGCATAACTATGCATTAAAAATTAATTATATGAATTTATTAGTGTATAAAAAATGTTTTAATGCCTGTATATTATTGATGAATTTTGATAATTGAATTGATATGTTATGAGATACAATGTAGTATAATAATTACTAATTGAATTGAACAAAGGATTTAATATGAGATATCATACAATTAAAGTTGAATAATTATTATTACTTCATTTATATGTTGAATAAATTTTAAGGAATTTACCTTGTAGATATAATAATCATTCCTTTTATTGTGTTTCAATTAAGAAGTGATATTGTGATAATTATTGTTATTATGAATATGTTAGATATAATAATGTTTGTGGTTTAGATGATTCAGTTGAGAGAATATTATAATAATATAGTTAGGTTAAACATTAACTTATACCCTATATGTTTATTATATGTTGGTATAACTTTGATGACTTAACAAAATATATGATTTTGGAATGTAAATGTAATAATATGTATATATTTGTCATATTCAAATTCTATGTGTTTTCTAGTAAAGCAACAATTGTCGAGTTATTACAAGATAATAGAAAAAGATCAAGTCAATATTATTTCTAAATTAGATGGGAAGACTAGAGTATTAGGTCAAATACATCATACCAAATTCGTACTCAATATCTTTTTATTAAATCAACCTTAAATCGAGCTTCCTAATATATGTCCTTAATAAATGAACTTTAAATTAAAAATCATCGTAAGAAAATTAATGAATAATATTCATCCTATTAAACAATGATTTTTTTAAATATTTTATGGTAAAAAACCAATCAACTCAACCTAATAAGATTAATTTCATCTAAAATGGGTGTAATTATTTGTATGATATGAAAATAAATATTTTTTTTATGATACTAAATATTGATATCATAAATATATAATTTTGTATTTGAGATTGATAATATGATAATATAAATGCGTCTCTTATATCTTTATTTGCTAAAGATAAACACTAAAAAATTATATTCTATTTTTAAATTAAAAGTTATTTTAAATAAAAAATAATAATCTTAAACTAAATGTTATTATTATTTAAAAAATAATAAATTATTTGAAGGTAACACTAGTTATAAATCAAAATCAAAGTAATTCTATTTATAATTTTGAATCAAAACAAGGACATCATTTCCTTCCAAAATTTAGAGAAAAAGGAAAAACAAATTTGCAACACTATTATCTACTTCGATAAACAAAAATAAAGATCGTTAAGTTATGAAATAGTTAATATCTGGACATAGAAATATAACATTATTCATTTTAAAATTTAAAAAAATTAAGAAAAATAAGTCAGTATAATAATACTAAACGGTAATGATAAAAAAATTATTAATTAATATTAAAAAAAAATCGACTTCTCAGTTACCGCTTACCCTAACTAGTATTGATTACTATTTAAGACGCGCCCATTGTTTGGACGGAGAAGAGGTGAATACTTTGGGCGGTCAAGAAATATATTGCTTGGTTGTGAGGCGAGAGAGAGAGAAAGAACTCGAATCAACTCTTGTTTCCTGTGGAAAACCATCAACAACAGAATCATACCATGTCCTTCAAACCCTCGCCGATCATGTCAACCTCAGTCCAAGCTCAGAGACAAGAAATCATCAACACTGCTCAAGGCAAACGGCAGACACCCAAACCCACTCATTCAAAGCAACTGCACAGTGCGAGTACCTCTCAGTTTAGCCTTCCAGAAGGATGGATGGTGGAGGAAAGACCCCGTCCATCTAACCCTGATCACATTGACAGGGTACCTTTCCTTTTTTTTCAACCATCAACTATTCTTTACTCATTCATGCATGCATGCATAGTATATCACTCTCTTGTACCAACACCTATCTTATCCAAGAAGGGTTTACTGCTAAGTTTTACATCTGCACAAAAAACCGTAGTCAAAGGTGTTAACAACGCATTTCAAGATGGATTTTTGGGTTTTTTTTTACTACATTTGTTTCTCTTTATATTTCCTTTAAAACTGCAAGTAATGTTATCTTCCAAGGCACTGACATTGTGTAATATGGTTGTTACATAACCATACTGTTTTGCACTTGTTCAGGGTTTCATCTGTTTATCTGTGTATATGAAAAATATATAATTTTTATTAGAACAGGTAAATTCCTTGCATGCATATGAAGATCTTGAAAAAATAGTTTTTGACCTAGACTGAGGGTAGATCTGAAATTTTTTCCTCCATATATTGTCATTTATAGTGCAAATAATGTTATCTCTGTCGGATTCACATGGTTTGGTATAGTTGACAGATAACCATGAGGATGAAATATGTGGTCAAGGCTGGATTTCTTGTGAAAGGAAAAAATAAAATAAAAAACTGTTGGGAGAAGTCAATCTCTTAAAAAAATATGTGAATAATGAAGATTTTCTCAAGGGTTACTTGGAGTTCACAGAAAAACAAAAAGTTATTATCTTTAAGTAGACAAAGTTACAATCAACACACAAAAGATAGAGAAGTAATTTATTTTCTTTTCCTGTACTTATACTTCATTTCTTTACTTAACACATTTGATGTTTGGAATTGGGTACTCTTTTCCTTTTTGCAGGGATTTGATTTTTAATGCATTTTATTTATTTGTTTGTTTGTTCAGTATTACTATGAACCATACACGGGAAGGAAGTTTCGTTCTTTGTTATCTGTTCAGAGACATCTTGCTGGAGAAACAGAAGGCACTGTTCCTGCTAGGAGAAAGATATCCAAAAATAAAAACACTGTGAGTTCTAATTTCATATTTTGTATCTTGTGCAAGTGTGTGCATTTGTCATGGTATTTGAAAAGATAATGAAATCTTTGTGAATATCAACAAAGAACTTGGAGTAAACATTTGAATGATTGAACATTTTCATGTTTAGACATATTTCCTCAAAAGCAAAGCCTGGGTCAGCCTAACCAATGTTTTGATTGTTATGGTGGAATTCCTGTAACACTAATAAATAAGATGGAGTGACAAGAACATTTCTATTTTACCATACAATATTCTCTTGGTATATTGTGATTTATGACAATATATTTTTCTAAAAAATATGATATGTGGTTTTAAGACTAGGAAGAGAAAGAAAATGCACTGAATTATTCAGCTGTTTCCTGATAACGAGTCAAATTATGTATACTTGGTGACGTTTTACTTTAAATATATATTTTGGTTAGGTTTGTAAAATAACATATTTTCCTAGATGGCAAACAGACAATAATCTTATCTAACAGTTTATTATTGTTTTTTTCAATTTTACTTTACTTTGATTTAATAGGTAATAATGATTTTCTATGCATGGTTAAACTATCATATATCTGAAGTTTTGATCTTCAACCAAATCAAATGAAGTCGTGTTATTCATGTAAATGACTTCATTAAGTGGAATAAGATTTCTGTTAATTTGTAGTATGACTAAACTAACCTCACACTAATTCATAAAAATGCCTAGGTTTCTAATTATGATTGTACATAAATTTTTCTTCCATTTTCTCTTTCAGACTATGTTATTTCTTCACACTTTTCCTACAATTTTAACTTGCTCATTTGCTGCTCTTATTCTTTGTGCTTTTAATGCTCATTTGTTTTCTTTTGTCCCACTACTTCCTACTCTAATGTATCTGAAAACTGTAAAGAAGTTGTGGAGGTGTAGGATGATCAAGACGTGGCTTAAATTCTCTCCATGATTTTGATTTAAAGCTGTATTTTCTGCAGACTTTTGCTGAATCCGGGGCAGGACAGCAGTTAAGTTCCGTGAGAACTGCTAATTTCTTATTAGAAGATGCATATCCAACAATACCCAAGGTACAAAATGCAAACAACAAATGAATTTTGGTTTGACAATTATTAGTGTGGTGGTGGTTTCAACATAATATATTTTGTCACTATCTAACTCTAATCTATGTTTCCTATCCAGTCCACACTGAAATCAGGCACTGGAGAAAGAGAAGTTTTTGGTGGAAGTAGCCGAAAACCTGCTTATAAACGCTCTTCAAAAGAAGAGCGCTTGAAAAATATTCAACTTGAGGTGAGTTTCAAAACTACTAAGACTTTATAATGACAAACTGATCACATGTTTAATGTAACTTGTTACGAAGAGACCAATGAAACTGATTTTCAAATGCCCTTCAGTAATAACAGAAAAAAGAGATGTTTACTTTAATGTCTTTAAAATCTTGTGTTCAACCTCAGGTAGTTTCAAAATTACAAAGACTTTATTATGATCATAAAAACTGATAGTCTATACAATGCAACTAATTGAATGTCTTCTAAAGGAACCTGCGAAGCTGACTATCAAAGGCCCTTCAATGGTAGCTGAGAAAGATGTAACCACTCCACGGTGGTTAAAAGACACCTATCAACCCAAGGTGATTTTCAAAACTACAAAGATTTTGTAATGATAAAAATTGATCAGTTATTTAATGTAACTAATGAATGTCTTCTGAATAAACATGTGAAGTTGGTGATCAAAGGTCCTATAGTACCAGCAGAAAAAGAAATAGCTCCAACCTGGTTGAGAACCTCTAAGCTATACGAGGTAAGTTTCAAAACCACAAAGACTTTATAATGATAAAAACTGATCAGGTTTTTAATGTGACTAATTGAATGTCTTCTGAAGAAACCCATAAAGCGTGATCTCCAGAAAACTAACAAAGGGAACAACAGCAAAAGCCCAGCACATAACTTACCAGGACCACCTCCAGAGAAAGTAACTTGGGTTCCATCTGAATTTGGGGGCTTCTGGAAACCCTTTGTGGACGGTTCAGCTGTCATGGATTCTGACAAGCTGAAATGGTCCGAAGCATTTGTGTTATCTACTCGACCATAATTGAACTAATTAGTGAACACTTTAATGGACTTAATAGCTGAGGTAAGTTTGAAATAAATTAATACTGCATTTTATGTGATTCGAGATTTTTCAAAAGCATTTCACGTGTTGATTTTCATTCAACTTTGCAGGGTTCATAGGGTGGAGATATATGCAAGAATGGGTTGATATCATGAACTGTTGATCGCAGATGTTATTTTATTTCACTTGATGTATGTTGTATTGCACCGTTTATTTTTGGATTGGACATCTAAGTAACTTATAAACTGAGTAATGGTTTATGTTTTTGCATTATCAGTTCACTTCAATCTTGAAACTGACTAGTACCAACTCATCTATATCCTATATGCATGTTAGCACTTCTTTCTGCATTTCCTTTCTGCCTAAAAACCCGTTTTTTTTCCAAATTAAATATCGATATATAATATCTTGTACACATGGATTTAGTTCAACATTCTTGGATTAAATTTTGAAAATATTTAAATTTTTCAAGATTTTGAAATTTAATTTAAGACAGTATGTAGTTATATTCTAAAATTAGATAGAAGAAAACTTTTGTTGGGATAACTTATGCACAACTTTTTGTATAGTGTCTTATTCTGTAAACTTTCCTTTTGCAATTCGCTCTAATTTTTACTCTAATATATGGAATTCGTGTCTTTCTCTGCTAACATAAAGTTGTACACATATTGATTCTCTCTTTCTCACTTTTATGCTAGGTATATGTCTTAGAAAAATCATTTTTTAAAGTTAACATTTTTTTTAATCTAAAAGTAAAAAAAAAAAATAACAAATTGCTGTATAAAAACGCTATAGACCTGTCAAAAATTATATTTCATGCAGGGCCGTCTTCTGTTTTGCGTGGGTCCATACAATTATTATTTGATGCAATTTGCTTATATAATTATATTTCATGATTTTTTTTTGTTATATTTTAAAAAAATTGTCTTAGGAATAAGAGGAGTAGAAAGATGAGTTCTTTTAGAAATTGGAACACAACCAATCAGCGTGGAAAAGGTGAGTGAGATTTACTTAGCTTCTGTTTTGGCATAAACATTCCATTTTTCAATCAGATTAAGAGTGAATTTAATTAAAATAAACTTATAGTACTTAGATTATTATGTTTTAGGTTGTTAGGTTTTGTAATGTACTTTATTTGAAAAATCGAAACAGAAACGATGATAAGTATTATAAGAGACAACATAATCAAACTACTTGTGCCCAAAATAGTTTCTATTCACGACACTGTCTATGTCCTATAGTTTTTTTTTTAATATTAATGATGAAATCAGTCTAAATATTAATTAAATTTCTATTTTCTATTTTTTAATATTTAGCGCACGAATTTATGAATATAGGCATTTGTATGTGCATGATTGTGTGGTGGTTTAATAAGTTTGATGAATGATTTAATAAATTTATACTACTCTATTTATAGTATTTTAAATAGACTGAAAATATGTTTTTTTTTCTAAATGTATGGATGTTAATAAAATAATTTATAAAAACATTTTTGATAGAAAAAAAATCATTCTTCGTATATAAATATTTATTATTTTTATGTTTATCCATAAATTAATTTGAGTATATAAGAAATATATCATGCAAAGTTAGAGAAAGAGTATAAATAGTCACAATATAAATTTATACAAAGTTAGAAAAATATTATTTAATTTTGAGACAAACAATCATTTAATATATCAACAATACTCATTGTCATAAAATCAATATATTCTTAAATAAATGTTTTTTTTAATTTAATGTGCTATTTACTATAACACATGTTATAAATTTAGTCAGGATATATTGAAATAAATGAAAGAAATTATACAAGTAAACTTTAACAAGAAACTTATTAAATTAAACTAAAAAAACTTTAAATTCTAAAATCTTAAATAAGTTTCATAGAAACTCTTTCAAATGTTCTCACAAATTGCATTTTTTTCATTTTTGTTATACTAACACAGAGGAAAGAATTCAATAATGATTTATTGAGAATGTAAAGTTGTTTTTGTTATATTATATAATCATGAGTAGTCACAATTTGAAATAGTTTGATATTTTTATCCCTTAGTTTTCAAAATAAAAAGAATTTGCCCGAAAATGTTCATAATAGTTTTCAAGTAACAGTACTCATCATCTCCCTTTATTCCAGTAAAAATAAATATGTCTAGTGTAGGATATAGATGCGAATTTAACAGCCATTCACCTTATCCTCCTCAGTCACAATTTGGTAACCCTGCAATTTCACTCTGTCATGCACCATCAAGTTATTTACAGTCTAGAAATTGGGGACGAGCAACTATACCATAAGATATGTTTTCTTAGAAACTACAGTAATTTAGTAAATTCATTGAGCAACCAAAAGCAAATCATGGACAAAATTCATGAAGGCAACCTTCCAGTCAAGTAGTGAGACAAACTGTCTCTTAGAGCAACTCCCTTCTCATCTACAGCTCCACAAACCAATTGATGATAACCTGAGTCATGATCATGAGACAAAGATAGTTCATCTTGCACTTCATCGTTCATGTCAATAACAATGTTGTGAAGTAGACAGCAAACGAGAATAATCCTTGGCAGACGATGTTTGTCTGGTCTCCACATCATTCCATGAATGATTCTCCACGTATCCTTCAGCCTTGTCAGTGCTCTTTGTGCCACCAGCCTTGTTGCCAAATGCTGCTTGTTAAACTGCGCTTTTGGTTCTGAGAGTTCTTTCCCTTCATAGGGGACAACAAGGTAAGGTAGCAGAGGATAACCTGAATCCCCAATTATATATTCTCTTATTTCTGATCCTCCAGAGAGCTGTAATTTGCTTCCATTCAACCTCTCACCCTTTTCACAAAGTTTGTTGAAATTTGAACTCTCAAATATCAACCAATCCTCCATTTTACCCGGCCAGCCAGTGACTACGTCCCTGAACCTCATATCAGGATCTACTATTGCTTGCAAGACCATGCTATGATTCTTCTTGTGATCAAGCCACACATTACAGGAAGCTTCAGATGTAGGTAAACACATTGTGACATGAGTAACATCAATTACACCACAGCAATTGGGGAGGCCTCGTACTTTCTCAAATTTGGATTTGATTGCATCCATTTCCACTTCTGTAGAAGGCCATCCCAGATGGTGGATACCCCTTTCTTCCAAGGATTCCACAAACCGCCAGGTGACTTGTGAAACAGTTGAGTGGTTTAGCCCAAATGAATCACCAATCGTGACCAGTGACTCACCAGATCCTAATCTTCTCAGTGCCACTGCTACTTGTTCAGATAAAGACAATGGTTTGCCATTTGTAAATACGAAATGAGCAGATTTCGTCATCATATCATCCTTAACAAGTGAACACACGTACTCAAATGTCTTTCTGGACATCTTGAAAACAGACTCGAAGTTATCCAAACATTTTGACGGAGACTGCTGAGGACCTGCCAATAAAATGAGTTATATATTCTTGTTCCAAATGTTAATAATGTAGGCTTTTCAGATAGTTTTAGATGGCCTTTCAGATAAAGCAGGATTGAAATGCCAAGGAATGGCAAATTTCTTTCACTAACTCTAAAAAGAAAAGGTTCAGGGAGGGATCCGATGCTAAGTGAGAAAAATCACGAACCTTCAATTCGTTTGACAAATCAGTGAGATTCCTTTGATAAGAGGAACAAAAAAAACAACAAAGCAAATGAAAATGCTATACATTATGCTTTGATTAGTGAGAGAAGAGGCCAGACAAGTAGCTACACAATTACTCAGACTAAACTGATTGAGAAGATATAGATTATTTATTGTATAGCTAAGCAATAGACTAATTTAGAAGTAATTAACTTCAGTATATATATAATAAAAACTGATGCATTCCAGTTGAACACAGAAATCACATAAAAATAGCTAAAGATTTAAGGCAGTAGAAAATACATTTAACCAAAAACATGCATAGTAACAAAGTTATTATCAAGGTTTAGGACAATAATATCCCTGAGTTCCAACAAGAATGCATTACATTTATAAGTTACTAATTGGATTAGAGATTGGCTGTGAAATAATTTCGTATGACCTGGACTTCTATAAATGGTAAATGTAAAGCATGTTCTTAGCAATTCTAGAACACAGTATTTCATATCTGATGTTGTAAAATATGAAGTTCTGTGTATTGAAACAAACTGGACTGTATGGGTGTCTACTAACAAGTATATCAACTTAAACCAAGAACATGAAAAAGTGACATTACTAATGATCCCGGAGTGAAAAACAACAGACTTGATGAAATATCCTGGTGCTATATTAACCATAGCTTAATGTAAATCAATCTACATAAAATGGTATTAACATCCTTTTATCCCATACCCTTGTTTGATTCTTATTCCACATTTTCACTAACGAAGACAAGGACCAGAAGATTCGGAAATTACAGCAATCACCAACCTGCTTATTTATAATCTGAGGTTAACTGTTTCACTAGAGACAGACAGTCTCTGTAAAGTCATAGTATAATGTACAGCAGCTGCTACTACTTTCCAAATGAATGTATTTAAACCCTCTGGCAAATTCAGTTCCAGATAAAAACTAGTTACATGCAAAACTGATAGTTTTCTCAAAGTTCTTTGAAATGTTGCAATTTAAGTAATGAATCAATTAAAGACCAAAATCTGAGTTATCGGTTCACCAAACATAAAATTGAACATTGATTAAAGAAATTTAAGTTACGACAATACAATAATGGTGGTCAGATACTGAAGCAGCATAGATTGAACAAATTCAATAAAATCTATTAAAAATTTAAAAAGGGTTTCAGTAACTGTGGTCTGGTTTCAGTAGATGGTTGATTAAATTCCCCGCTTGATCATACATCACAGAGGTGAACCATTTCAAAACTATACACATATGAGCATATACAGTTCATCTAAGAATGTTACACAAAAAAATCATACACAAAACATAGACAGGGTAAAATTTATAAGCAGATACCAAGCCTGTCAGGAATACTTTATCTCATACTACAGCAAATTGCCTACTAAGCATACCTTCTTATAAAAAAATGTTGGTCATTGTAAAAGACATTCTACTTCTACCAAAAGAATAGATTTTATCTTCACTGTATCTTCTATTAGCCATGATATTCTACTTCTAAAGGGCAGAATAAACAGAAAACCAACCCAGGTAACAAAAGTACAGCAAGCTCAACATCTTGAAACTAAACCAATCAGATCATGGCCTATAGAAGATACAGTGAAGATAAAATCTATTCTTTTATTCCTCCTGCATAACTCACATCCCGTTTTCTTTTCCAGTAGTTTCTTTCTTTCTTTCTTTCATTCAGGGAATCTAATAATAGCTATGCATGCCAACTGCAAGCATCAGGCTGAAATAATCAGGGCTTTAATTAATCACTTGAGTAGAACAAGAAATAATACAATGAGCAGCTAGAAAGCTTTGGGACCCAAAGCACTGAATTTGAAGTATTATGACAATTAAATTAATTTGTTGAAATTTTCTAAAAACCATGTTCACAACTAACAAAATTCAGGTCCCTTCTTTATAAGAATCAAGTCTAGTGAATGGAGCGGAACTGCAATAAACCAATACCCAAAATATATTGTGCATGAGATACAACTTAATACCAATAGAAACATTCTTACTTGCCTGCAAAATATTTAAGGGGTGAGAGAGGCTACCCATACCAAGGGCAGCAATAGTAACTTTGTTTTGGCTTTAATGAAAATTTAAAAAGGTCAAATAATAAAGTTCTAAAGCACCCTATATGAGGAGAAGGTAAAAGGGAATACATAAAATCTGATACATGTGTTACATATGGTTTCTTCTGTATGTTTTAGAAACCAAACTACAAATAAGTAGCATGGATAAGTTATAAAGCTATGGTATGAAGTCTAATATCACACCTGACTGACATAAAACTGAAAGCACAGACAAGTGTGTTTTAGGCACACGCTCAATAGACATGTATTCTGAAAAAACTGTTAAATTGGGTCAATTATGCAGAAGCTATAACTTAATGTTTCCGATGAACACGCTTAAAACCTGTGAAGATGTGGAACTAAACACGCTGTGCCCAACACCAAGAGAAAAGTACCATTCTCCTTGGAATTTCTCATACACCCATAATGTACTACATGATACACAAACCTGTGCAGGGTTTATTACAATGCTATTATATAATGTGATTAACCATTCCTTGATTGGTAAGATAAGATAACACGATCAGAATGACAAACAACTTCAAAGTCAAATTAGGGATCCTTAACATATATACCAAAATGCATTTGACATACAAAGTGTGCAAAGAATTCCCATGACAAAAGGAGCAAAACTTCTATTTTGTAAAATAGAGAAGAAAAGCAAGGCATTCAGCATAGCAGGCCACGATTCATCAGCGAAAGCAACAGCATACATAAAAAACGAAGAACAAACATGAAGGAATTATTGAACACAGTGAAAGACAGAAAGAAATCTACCATTCATCCTCTTTGACAAGTCATCCCACCAATCTACAGGACCCTCTCCCTCGGGTGACCCAGAAGCAGCAGAACCATTCCTGTCATGCTTCTTCTCTGGCTTTCTTTTCTTCTTCAATCCTCTCACAGGACCCATCACAAGTCAATCGAATCACCAATACTCTCGAGATTCGGGGAGGCAGAGTCTGCAAGAATTCACAAGGTTAACGGAAAACAAAAACAAACCACAAAAGCAAAGAGAAGATTCATTAGCATGATGAAAGAGCAGCAACACTCACCAGAGAATGATGTTGGCAACAAGTTGTGAGAGTAGGAATAATGGTTAGTTGTGGAGCAAAGAGTGGTGTATGAGTGTTTGTTTAAAGCATGCAAGAAAGGAGTGAAAAAGGGAAGCGAGAGGAGTTAAAGTATGCTAAATGCAAAACAAGGGGTAAGATTGAGGTTAAGGTTAAGATTAAGGTAAGTGATGCAAAATCCAAGCAACATCAAAAACAACACCAACACATGTGGGTTGGTTTAAGACAATGTGTCAACACCTTCTCAGCGAGAAGGGACAGACATAGATATGATATGGTATGGTATGGTATGGGGCACAGAGAGAAAAAAACAACAACAACAACAACAACATCACCAATTCACCCTCTTCATTCCTATGAGTAAAATGCTGCTTTGCTTATCATCGTCAAAATTAAAAAGCAACTCCTCTCGATTCCATAACTATGTGCATAACAAAACAAAAATAAATTAAATGACTAACGTAAATCGAATTTATTATATCATTTAATAATTCTTCAAAGAAAAATAAATCAAGTACTTTGAAAGATAAATCATAAATAAATAAATATATAAATAAAAAATATATATTCTCTTAGCATACAAATTAAGAAATCGCTAAATCACATCTCGTCGTATATAATAAATTTTTACTTTTACAACATTTATATTAAAATTTATATTAGTAATATTTTTAATTAATCGTCATTCAATCATATAATTAATATATATATATATATATATATATATATATACACATATATTTTAGAATTGTTAGAAATTATTAATTATTAATGACTAAAAATAATGGGCACATATAGATTTTTTTTAATATTGTTTATCTTATATTAAAATGCTCGAGACAAAATAATATTATACATAATAAATCATAATTTTTTATAACAATTATTTTAAAAACTTTTAATAATTTTTAATTAATGATATATTTATTAATTTTATAATAATTACCTTAAAAATTAAACCATTGGTTTCTGTTTGTGGAGAGTATACAACTTTTCTGCTAGTTCTATATTTTTTTTAAATTGCATATTAATTAAAATGCTAAAGTAATTAATAACATTATTGTAACAGATTAAAATATTTCAATAAATTGCAGTAACACCTTCAAAAATTATTGAAATTGCATGTAATTCATTGTTTTTTATAGTTTATCATATAAAATCTACTATGTAAACTTTTAAAATAACTACTGGTTATTAAAATTTTACATACAATAAAAAAATAGCGTAAGAATAAAAATATAAGAAGTACTCAAAATTTTAACACTATGCATAATATTAATAATTTTTACATTAAATGTTTAGTTCATATAATAATAAATCAATTATCCTTTTAACTTTATGATGTTTGGTTATTTCTAAATGTGATTTTGTCTCTTTAAGGGTAATAGATTAAGAAGACAAAATATAAAAAATAGTAAAGATTAAATAGAGACAAATAGAAATTATTAAATTAAAAATAAATAAAAAATAATAATGTTTTAAGATTATTACAAAATTTTAAATATGACTATTTAATAATAATAATAATATTCATTTTGTATAATAATAATAATAGATAAAAGTGAAAAAGATAAATGGACCTATTCCCTCTTAATTTGGTGAATTAGAATAGTATTTTTAATCTATTTTTATTACATTCTACCAATTTGACATATCATAGACAAGACAAGGTTAATTTATTAATTTGTTAATATTAAAATATTTTTATTAAAATAAAAATAAAATAAATTATAATTTAAAGTTATATAATTTATTATTATGCTATTAAAAATATTATAATATTATAATTTAAGTTATTAATATTTATAAATTAAATTTTAATTAATAACTATAATTAATTATTTTAACATATAAAAACAATAACTCTTTAATTTATCTAATAAAAAATATTAATTAACTAATTTTTGTTGTATATTTTTTTAGACTTCTTACTTTTCTTTATATTTTTTTTCTTTGTGTCTCTGTTTATCTCCTACCCCACATACCATTAAAGACTATAAAATTAATATCAAACTCACTTAGATTATTTAATAATATACTATTAATATTTTAATATAATTTTGGGCTACTTTATTTTGTAAAAAAGTGTAAAGTACTTTAATGAACATTTATATATATAATATTTTAAAATAATAATATATACTTCATCATGTCTAGTTTTGGTTTCAGTGATATGTTACTTTTAGATCCTATTTTTTTAGTATTTTTTATTAGTTCCTACAATCAATTATAATTATTTTAACACTAAAAGAGAAAAATATAAATTTAGATAACTAAAAAATAAGAAATAGTTAAAAATAATCAATCAATTAAATAATATGTTTATTATTTTTTATAGATAATATAAAATTTATTTTTATGATACTTATATTTTTAATATAATATACCATGATAAATAATTTTATATATTTCTTAACCAAATTTTATTTCTAAAACTCTATTATATATATATATATATATTTTTTTTTTTTACTTGAAGAAAGATTTATAGTAAAATATACTGAATATAATATAGACAAAAGTGTTTTTTATATCACATATGAAATGCATACAGATAAAAATTAACTATTGTTTTTATATTACTATGACTTTAAATAAATTATAATATGTAGTTTTAAGAATATAAATATACTAAATAGTTTAATTATTTGTATGTATAGAAGGTATGATATATTAAAAAAATATTATAATGTTGAAAATATAATAAAATAAATTTTTTCCATAATATTAAAAAAATCAAAAGCTGATATTTATTAATTATAATAAATATTTTGATAATGATATTTATCAAAAACTGTAACATTGTTTACTAAAAAAAATATAAACATTATTTTATTGATAGTGAATTATTATTATTATTATTTTAATTTATTTCTGATTTATAAACATCTCAATTATATTTATAATTATGTAGAGTCATTTTAACTCATGTATTTTATTTTTTATTTTTTTAAAGACTAATGATGTTCTAATGTCAGTACAACATATTCCGTTTTAACTATTTATTTTTATAATTTTTTTCCTCTATCTATTTATCTATCTATATATATACATATATATTAAAAATATTATTTATCATAAAAGTTCTACTTAGACTTCAAAATTTTGTGAAAACTTATTTAATTAAACTATTAAATTATAAGTTATTTTTAAAAAATTAATATAACAGAAATCCTTTCTACATAAATTAAATAAGTTTGTTATATTTATATTATTATTATTATTATTGTTATTTTAATTTTATCATAATATATTAAAATAATATATTTATTTATTTTAATTATTAAACATATATTTTTGAAGAAGTTCATATATATGACCAGACTTTTATAGAGCTAAGAACAAATCTTAAAAAAATGCATATGACAAATATTAAATTTTTTTATTCGTTTATAATTTCAAATTAGATTATAAAAGAGTAGTTATTATAATTTATATTTTAAATAATAAAATGTTAGATAACTTGACTTTATCTAGTTATTCTCTTACTATTTAAATTACAACATAATTGTATGATATATATTAAATGATTGTTTTTTATTTATGCTTCAATTATTATGATAACGGTCAATTTATACTATGCTTCTAATTCTTATCCAAACTTACTATTTATCAATGATATATATATATATATATATATATATATATATATATATATATATATATATATATATATATATATATATATATATATATATATAATAGTACACGTGTTGATTTTGGTTCAATTGTCAAATGACTTAATTTGACATAAAATATAATTGTGATTTTGGTACACTTGTTTAATAAAAAATGGAGTTTTATTGTTATGTACACATTATGATGACTACAAATATTTATAAATTGTGCATATATAATAACTTGGCTAATAAGAAAGAATTGTAAAGTAAATAAATTTAGTTATCTTCTATTTTACCACATATATGTGATTCACATGCTATATTAATTAAGAGTGCTGCATAAATTTATTTCACACAAGACATTTTCCAAACTTATCAATATAAACAACTAATATATGTTTATTTATCGTAATGTTTTTTTTGGTAGTTGTAACATTGCATACAATTTATATCTCTTTGTACCCCTCTTTTTTATGTTAGTATTATATATTGAATTTTCATTTGATGAATATTTATTGTAACATCGTCACTTAATAAATGTTGTGCTTCTCCGTGTCACTGTCTGATGCAAGTTGTCAACACCCTTTTCAATGTTCTGTCGCAGATAACAATAAATAATTTGATTTTCCGAGGTGGGCCATAATCAAGCCCAATTAGTGTCCTCTTCTGCAGACTTTTTTCTCATTTGGACTCATTATGCTGTAAACATAACATTCTTGGATCACCCAAAAAGCCCACAGCTACACCTCACACAGTACTTTGTTAAAAACTTTTCTTTGCTACCATAACATGTTTCAATAAATTATGCAGTGTGTTATTGAGTTACCAAAACATGACCCAATTAGATATTTTGGGCCATATCTGAGTTCTGTTGTCCCAAATACGAAATTCACTTCATTTGTTTTATATTGATGCATCTAATGGTCCAATCCAATCATTTTTTTCTCTCTCTTACATAAATCCGATAAAAGAAAAGACAATCTTATATAAGTCGAAAAAAATACTATAATTTTTTTAATAATATATTAATATATCTCCTCACAAAAATCATACTCATGCCATACATAATAGTTTGTAAATTGTAATTGATTGAGTTTGAATCATTTCCGTACTCAGATTCATCAACAGTATTACTTAGAAAATGTAAAATTATTAAACAACGAAGTAAATTGAATGGATTGAATTTTTCTTCTTTGGTGCTTCCAACATTGAACCCTGAAACATGATTAATCCACATGTTGGTGTATAAATGCAAGCCACATGAAGGACTTTAAAAGAAACAATGATGACATGCATGATTTTATACATGATATAAGCGGTTCTAATTTTCTTCTGGAAAGTGCAAGTGAGAAAACTGCCTCGTCATAGCCAATGTCCCACATCGTTCTCTCCAACCAAATCCTTCCTATGTGACTACAATTGCTCCAATAGTCACCCAACCAATCAATGTACTATCTTCAACATAATAAGAAAATTATATTCATATTTAATATTTATCATCAAATCACACTAGGGAAAAAACTAACTAGTGAAGCTTAAATGAAGAAAATTATATGATTCAAAGTTGTATTTTGAGGTAGGATCCACTTGGAGAAAAAATTGAGTTTCTGGAATTGTCTTAAAAAAGAGTAATATTATTGATGATGATGATGAATAATCATGAATCACTTCCATTGTAAGCCCAAAAGGAAGCTTTATTCAGAATCCCATCCTTTCCCTTCTACACAAACCGACGAACATGTCTGATAACTCTAATTAGCTAATTAAGTTATAGTCACTTCACAAGTGGGACCAAGAACAGAGAAGCTTATGAATTATGTTTTCTTGTCATGGAAACTTTTGCTACTTTATTTTTTTAGACGCACCTCAATATTCTCATCATACTCATCAACTCTGTGGTAGGGGTTCGATTTGATAAATATTTTTTTATTGAATACAATCTTACTTTCTTCAAAGTACAGCCCCAGAAGAACATATTCATCTAGGATCGACTCAGCCAAGAATTTATGAGTCATAGATTGAGGGTATCACAGATTTTTCGATGGCAACACTTGGAATATTTGGTGTTGGTTTAAACTGTTGAAGTCAAATTTTGGAATTAGATTTGTTTTCGGTGATAAATTCAGGAATCAATGTTTAATAAGAATGTGGTATCCACGAACGAAGAGCAATAGAGAATATGGTTATGCGGTCGTGGTATATCCATTAATTAATAATTATTATATGATACGATATTCAGCAGTCACATCAAATGTGAAGGAGGAAGATGACAACAAAGTTATGTTATGTTATCTGGAGTGTTCTCTTTTTCATCAAATGAACGGTGGACACACCATCTTGGTTCTTCTTCACCTTTCATAAGATATTGCAAGTGCAAACCATAAACAATTCAAGGGTGATACTATATATCATGCATGCTGTGTAAATCACATTATTTGATCATAAAAACGTTTGAAACTGGTATCACTATGGAACCAGATGCTTATTTTCAAGTTCTAGATGTTTTTATCGTGGCTCACAAGACATCAACTCCTAGAATTAATCACATACGCATATCTGAAACTGCAATCAGTTCCGATTCGAACTTTGTTCTTTGAGTAAAGTTTTCTTCTGTCAATCTGTCATTATTTCGCTCTAGAAGAAGAAAAACAATGAATGCAAATTTTTCAATGGTGGAAGTGAGTTTACACTATTTTCAAACTTTCATAAAAAATTACATCTAATAAGACACTAGAAAAGTAGACCCAAATGGGAAATCAAAGTTGGTTTTAGAAAAGTTTTTATGCATAATCATCCATGAAAGCTGATATGCCCTTGCACATATCAGTAATGAGTGACCTGCCTCCACAAATAAAAAGGCAATAAGGTTGAATCTGTGAGAGCAAAGAAAAATAGCATAATTTTTAAATCCCTTGTGGAAAAGATTTTATAGGACGTGTACCTTTTGCAATCCAAATAAAATTAAATTATAACACCTAGCTGTAAGAAATTTTTAGTAGTTAATGGACAGTGAAGTACTGAATAGTAGAAGAAAGATGCATCAATCCATTTGTCTTGTTTGCAAGTGCCAGCCATCGCTACAACTAAACGAGAAATAATATCTATAATATGTTTTACTTGATAACAAACATGAAATAAATAAAATGAATAATAATACAATAAAGGGATAAAAAAAAAACGTATTTTCAAAGTAGGAAAATGAACAACCTAATAGGGCAAACCAATCAAACCATGAAAAAGGCAGATCCAAAAGACAAGGGAGTTGTTTCCTTAATTTTCTCTGTCACGCCTAAAAAGACCAAAATTGAGTCGTTTTCTTCATCGAGGTTAGAGAAAGCCGAAGACAAAAACATTATCCTGTCATATTTTATACCTATGGTGCCATTAAATCAAGGTAAACTGAGAAGATGGTTGATGTATACCATAAATCAAATGTACATGGCATCTTTACTGTTGTTACAACGTCAGAATATCTAAGTCTAGGTCACATGCAAATATATATAATAAAGAAAGAAAGAGGGTCATGTTCATATAAGAAAAAAATCATCATCTAGAATGCAACAATGACAGTAGCAATATCATGTTCAATTTACTTTGCTTGCACATTGTCGTGGTTACTCTGTCCTTTACTTAGTTTCTTTACAAAACCACACGTAGGGGACCACTTCCATTATCATGTAATAAACCCTAAGGTAGAGAATGCCCAAGATAATATTAAGTGCTCTACCCACAAAAATGGTGGCATCCACGTCACAAACAGATCTTTTATGGCTACTCTGAACGTTCAGTTGTTTATTATTCCAATCCCATGCTCCAAATTGTCTACTTGTTCCAATGGAATTCAGCAGAAATAAAAATCATAGGTTTGAATTTAACCAAAAGTTAGATGCATTTGTTTATTTATTCTCGTCTTACATTTCAATGACGTCGCAAGTACTGTTGATTATTTTATGATATAATCTTATCTTTATCTTAAAAAAACGATGCCCACAACATTCAGCACCACGAATATAGTGAGTGGTGTTAGAATAAACGCAGACAAATGATGCAATATTCCACTCTGCATATCTACTTATCATGTTGAGAGAATTGTGGTTCACCAATATTATACTGTCCTCCATCTCAAATCTGTAGCACCTTTCCAATCACAGAGAACAAGGCCGGCAGGCCTGAGTTCAATATCCAATTACAATTCAATCATTTCCATGTTAGTTAGTTTTCTTCTCCACTCACACCCCCAAATGAATTTGACCTATTTTGGAATCTTTTCAAAACTGTTCATGTTCACTGAATTCTTTTCCCTCCAATAATATCACCAAATCCAAAACTCATAGAGCCTATGCTCACTCCTTTACATCTGTAGTAGATGGCTTGAATGATTGAATACAAAGGGTCAAATGCCAAAATCATGAATTTTATAGTTTCTGAATTTCAAAAATATTTCTTTTTTTGAATCTTTGAAATGTGTGGTGAAAATATGAAGATTCTGGTTATCATACTGTCCATACTATTTCAAGCATGTTTGGGAACTGTGTTTTAAGGAATTTTTTTTTACTAATTTTAAGTTGTGCTGTTCATAAATTTTGATTATACTGATTCTTGAATTACTTAAACATTTATTGAAAATATGTAATGTAAATTATGTTTTATTTGTCAGCTAGAACGAATTTTGAAAGGTAAAAAAAGATGTGATAATTTGTCCTCACTAATATCACAACTCTTAATATGAGAGCTTTGAGTATGGTTTCCACTCTTAAAACTCAAGTAATAAAAGTAATGTTGTTGTTAATCTAATATCATCCATATATACAAAGATTGTTTTTAATTTAAAAAAAATTAAAGTGATTAATACTAATAATAATTAAGTCAGTAACAAAAATATATTACTTTCTGAATGAGGCTTTCCAAAAGTGACTTTCCTCTTCTTAAGTATTCAACTTTCAATTTCTCTAAAAAATGTGAAAATAAATAAATAATGATAACCTGTTTAACTATGAATATAGATAATTTGATTATAGTAGTATAAGATTTCACAAAAAATGAGGATTGCTCTTTGCATGAATATAAATAGGATCGATATTTAGAAAATATGATAGTGTAAATAATCACCACATTTATCACCCAATCATGACAGTTCAAACTTTTGGTAAAATTTCCCAAATCATGTTTCCATTTAGCTTGAACCTCATATTTTAAAACTTGAAATGATATTTTTTACACTTATTATATCTCAGCTCACATTGAATAACTCATTTTTTCACTTTTATAGTGTGTTTCATCTTTTAATCTTCTATGACTTTTAAAATTATATTCTCATTATTCATTAATAATACAAAATATAAACACTTTTAATAGAGGTTAATAAATAAAACAAATATAAAATTATATAAAAATAACAAAACACCTGCTTAAAAGAATCAATAATTTTATAGTTATAATAAAGATAAGAAAGAGTAACTTGGAGGAAGGAATTAGTATTGGTATTAATTAATGTCTAACAAAAATATCTAATTATAAATAAATAAATACAACAATGATATAATTAAAAGGAAGTAATTAAAAATATTAAGTGTTTTTTATGAAAACAGATAAAAATAAAAATAAAATTGATTTTGACTCTTAATTAATCACATCTAAAAGTTGAAAAAGTGAAAATAACTATTTATTATTAACTTTTAATGTGAAAATAGAGTAAATTATAAAAACATAAATTTAATCCAAAGAAGCCATGAATGGAGATCCAGCACCGTTCCCTCATTGATGTCAGCACAAGGAAAGAGATGGCAGAAGATGTTTATAAATGGTAATAAGAAATAACAGTTCTTTATCATTTTCATCTCCACTTTCCTTTCACAATTACCACCTTTTGTCCCTCTATTATTACTTCACCACACCTTTGGTTGTATTAAACAATTCTTGTTTCTCTTTTTCAGCTAACTTTTTCTAAAGTCAAAATATTCTATTAGAATATTTATATGGTCTATTATTGCATCTATTCAAACATGATTGTAATTTTTGAAAATAAAAAGATTTATTGGCCCAAAAATTGCTCTTAGTTTTCAAAATAAAACTAGACAAAGTTGGTGATGAAGGGTTGTACAAAATATATAAGTTAAATAAAATGAAAACAGTTGAAGAAGATGATGAAAAACACTTTCTACTTATTTATGCTTTTGTGTTTATTTTAAAACACTTATTGTGAAAGTATTTTTAAAACTTAATAATTTAAAAAAAATGATTTTAGCTTTAATGGATACTTTTTTTTAATAAGATTATATTTATATTTATATGTTATAATTTGGTTATATTTTTAACATATAAATGATCTAATAATTATAATAATGAGTGATTTGATAAATTTAACAAATATTGGTAAGATAAACTTTGGTATCTTATAAAAATTAATTTGAATTTAATTTAATTATAGAAAACTGATTTACAAGATACTATTTGAATTATAATTTGATCATGGTTATACAATGTTAAAATTGAAATTATTTTAGGAAACAACTTTTAACACTAACAAAGTGAAATAAAATTCATGGTTTGATGGTTTAGTAAAAGCAAAATATCTTAATATTTTGAAAAAGTTACAATGAAGTTGAAGAGTAAATATATTTTCTAGCACATCATAACTACAAACGCCAAATTTGAAAATTGAAATTACATTTTTTTTTCTTTTTACCTTTCCACGTTGATTTGAGCATGCACCAAGTTGGAAAATCCTATTATTTAATAACCTAAAACTGGCCCGACATAGTGGCACACTCTCTGCTGGGGACACCATGCTAAGAATAGTTTTTTGAAGACTAATATCTCTATTCATTTTCAATATTCTATTTGTGAGACAAGGTTGCCCCAAAACATCTTTACCATTTCTGCCTATATTCTTCATTTCTTTGTCCTCTTCTACTTTCTCTTTCTCTCATGCCCTTTCCACAAGTCAAGGGCCGTAATATCCACCACCAAGTCCTTCGTCACAGTTATATGTGTCACAAGGTTAATCACATCATTTATGTTACAATGTTACACAAAAGAATAATAAATGATGTTATTCATAAAATATACGAAATTTTTATGATCTTAAATTTAATGATTATGTTGCATGTTCTGTATAGATTCATAACTGACGTTGAAACATTTGTCGTTCAAGAACGTCTCTTTTTTATAGTACAATAATTTCTTTAATGAAGTTTTGAATTGTGTTAAATGGAAATAAATACCTTTTTCTTTTTTTTAAAAAAAGAGCTATTTTTTCTTATTTTTGTTTTGTTGGTTTGAGAGAAAATTTTAGCTAGCTAAAAGTTCAACACCTCAATGAAAGGTGAATTAAAGGACAACACTCTCCCCCAATAAGTCTTTTAGTATATGATAATAAATGTTTAGGACTATTCATAAAGGATTAAAGGGCTATCTTATCCTATAAAAAATGAAATCTACAATACAAATCGTTGCTTAATCTTGTCTTTGTGTTAGCTAGCTTGAGGCACCTATAAGGCAACTTCATGTCTTGGATTACCAGATATCGTTAATTAATCACAAACTTTGACATGGAAATATATAAGGGGAGGGTGGAACTGGGGAGAGAACAAAATCTTTGCGATAAGTTAAACATTAATCAACCAGTATGTCTATATCTACATGTCTAAATCTATCTATATATATCTCTATATATATATTTATTGGGTATAGGGAAAAAAAGGAAAATGGTGAAAGATACGTAGTCATATTGATCTATTACTCTGATTATTTCCACGTAGCAGATGATGTCATCATGATAGAGGGACCAAATGAACGGTGGATATGCAAAATTGCTTATAAAAAAATGAACTGAGAGTGTGACAAGACATATATAAATGTTGGTAATGCTGCTTGCATAGGTGCCAGCAAGTGAAAAAGAAAGTAAGTAAGAAACCTTGAAGAAAATATTCCATTTCCAGAAGTAGTGTTCGTGTGAGAGAGAGTGTCGTTTGAAAATGGTTCAACAGGAAGTGCGTAAAGGACCATGGACAGAACAGGAAGACTTCAAATTGGTGTCCTTTGTTGGCTTGTTTGGAGACCGTAGATGGGACTTTATTGCTAAGGTATCAGGTTTGAAGGTGGCGGGAGACAGTAAAATAAGCATTATGCAATAGTCAAAATGCTTATTTGGGCATGCTACAAATACATTATGGAAGAACCACCCTAGCTTTAACCACCTCATTTTGTTGTAGGTTTGAATAGAACAGGTAAAAGTTGCAGATTACGGTGGGTTAATTACCTTCATCCTGGTCTCAAACGAGGAAAGATGACACCCCAGGAAGAACGCCTTGTGCTGGAGCTTCACTCAAAATGGGGAAATAGGTTTGATAATAAGTTCTGTTTCTTAGTTGACATGTCTTTTGTTATTTTCTACTACCACAAACTTTTTTATGATGCAGATTTTTCAGGTAAAACTTCAAATCAACAGTCTTATTATTTACCCTTTGCCTCTAAATCTGATGATTGTTAGTTTGAGACATGCAGGTGGTCAAGAATTGCTCGCAAGTTACCAGGGCGCACTGACAACGAGATTAAGAATTACTGGAGGACTCTGATGAGGAAAAAGGCTCAGGACAAGAGAAGAGTAGAAACTGCATCATCATCATCATCATCAACACCAGTACCATCTTCTAGTGTTCATTCCTCGATATCAATATCCTCAAAGAAGCATGCAGTGGATCCGCATGCTTCAAAGAAGGCAGGAGAAGAGAGCTTTTATGACACAGGAGGTCCTACTGCGATAGGGTCAACCCAAGATGAAGGTCAGGGTGGGTTCTCCATGGACGACATATGGAAAGATATTGACATGTCAGAAGAGATCAACAGTTTTCTTCATGGACACAGTGAAGAAGGTTGCAACTTCTCTTGCCCACAAGTGCTTTCTCCATCTCCATCATCATGGGAGTATTCTTCTTGTGACCCTCTGTGGGTGATGCTGGATGAGGAAAGTTTGTTTTGCCCCATGAGTGAACCATATTTTTATGCATTAAACGTCTAATAGTCTAATAGTCTATTCTTTTTCCCAACCAATATTTTGTTGATAGCATATGTGTGGCACCTAAAGTCTAACCTGTATAGCATTGCGTTGCGTCTTTAAGGTCTTGGAATGGTTCGTTTTCACAGTCGGTAGAGAGTGTGACCCAGCTGTAATAATTTCAGATCAGGCATAGCTCTAGTCTCTATGTCAATGTTGGTTTCAGTGCTTTTACTTTCCAAAAACATCCAATAGGATACTGAGTTGGTATGTTCTGAATGTAAAATATCAAGCACTTGTTTGCATCTGAAATATTTTAGTTTTAAATTATTCTCATCTACACTTCTATATACCAACATCTCATGCTCCTTTCATTCTTTATAATATAATAGCTACCTTAGCTACTATATATATATATAACAAGTGCATGAATAGTGTATATGCTTTTGTATAAAGCTCTGCAATCAAAATCAGACGACATGCACACTGTACAAATCAATATTGGATAAACCGTGCGTGATGTCGCGTTGGTAACAGAAGCATGTGCTGATTTGGATGTACAAGGTGAAGGCCATGGAAAACAAACGTAAAATAGAAATAAAGTCTAATATTGAGGATGTAATGACTACGATTTATTGCTGATGAATATGAATTTTCACGAAAACCAAATACCGCAGGAAAAAAAACTGAAAACCTTCTCATTTACTCATGAATGATAAATATTAACCAAGTGCTTTCTTTGAGAAATAGGACCAAGGTTTATAAACTTTAAAATCTGTTTCAATTCACCTATAAAATAAATATATAATAAAAATATGAATTGTATAACAATCAGAATATGTTTAACACATTCAAATTTTAATATTTTTATTTAGTATTTTATTTTAAAATATTAATTATAAAAACCAAATTTATTAGTATATTTGTAGAAGTAGTTTAATTAGATGAAAAGTAAACATTTGATTAATTAGTTACAAATATTAAAAAAGAAAAAATTAATTATTTCATTTTTATTTATATAAAACCATTATCTCTAAAATTTATATTGTCCTCTTTATAAGATTGTATGTGATTTAATGATTATAATTTTGTGTAGGGAGATTTAAACATGTAAGAATTCTCTTGTAGAGTTATATATATTTAGGAAAACTAATTCGAATTATTATAATACACTAAATGGTAAATCTAAATATAATGTTGAGATGATTTGATCATAAATGTTTGATTTACAAGAATGGTATACGTTTATATTGAATTATAAGACATATTTAGTACGTGGATGTTTACACTATATTCTTTCATTCTCTCTTAAATGTGCACTTGCATTTGTTTTTTTTCTTTCCTCTTTTCTTTGTTTACTTTTTTTTCACGTCCAATGTATGCATTAAATATTCTGTTTGATTAAATTTTAGTCGGTACATTAACAAAATTTAAAAATTGTTCACAAAACTATGGTTTCCATTCGATGACAATATATATCATATTGATTTTATTTTAATATATAGCTTATTGAAATTGTTAAATAATAATTCGTATGTTGTAATGATGGTTTCTGTTATATTAATTAGCTTAACAAACCTAAGTCACTATTATAAATATCGTGTTTCTATAATATTTATATATAGAGCATTTTTATAATTTAATATACTTTTTTCTATTTATACTCTCTTGATACGTGTTCTTTGATCCCTTTCTACTGACAATGGTGTCTGAGCTTCAAGATTCGGGAAGAAGAAGAAAAAGAATTAGAAGAATGGTGATGACAGGAACTGTGTTACATGACAATATGTCAGTGCACAATAGCAAGAACCTAAATGGGTATGATAGTTGGTATGTGAAAATAAATGTTATTTTTTGTTTTTAAAAAGTCTTAGACGTAGTTTTGAACGGATATGAGGGGCTACCGGAGAATCCCACCGAGGCACAGCGTGTGATGTTTCAGGAGGGAAAAAAACGTGATTGCAAAGCTATGTTCTATATTCATCAGTGCGTTGATGAAAACAACTTTGAAAAAATTTTGTTGGCAAACTTAGTGAAAGAAGTATTAGATATACTAACACACAGTTACGCAGACAGAGAAAGGTTGAAGGTGGTGCGACTTTAAACTTTGCGTCGTCAGTATGAGTTGTTGTAGATGGAGACACAAGAAACCATCCAAGAATACTTTGCAAAATTATTGTCTATCACAAACTTAATGAAGTTTTATGGTGAAAGCCTGAACGATCGATGATGGAAAAGGTGTTGAGAACCCTCGATGCTAGGTTCGAAATAATTTTTGTAGTTATTGAAGAGTTTAAGGATCTCGATTTATTAAAACTTGATGAATTACAGGGATCATTGTAGACTCATGAATAATGATTACATAAGAGGGTGGACGAAATGTCTAACATAGAATAGACGTTGTTGACGAAACAAAACCAAAATAATGAAACAAATTTAAAAAAATCAAACAAGAGAGGTTGAGGAAAAGGAAGAGGTAGAAATAATAGTAGACGAGACTCAGAAGGGGAACACGAGAGCTCTTCACAATTAAGAGGTGATAGAGGCAAAAACTCACAATAAAGAGGTGGTCGATCAAACTTTAGTGTCAGTAAGAAGAATGTATAATGTTATAACTTATACAAATATCACTACAAGAAAATTGCGTATTACCGACGAATATTTACCGACGGATTTGTAACCGTCAGAAAATAATTATTACCGATGGAAATTACCGACGGGTATAAAATATTTGTGGAATTTGATCTTACCGACGGATATATCCGTCGGTAAAATAATAATTAGTTATCGACGGATATATCCGTCGATAAATCCGTCAGTAATTTACAAATGAATTTACCGACGGATATATCCATCGGTAAATCCATCTATAAATTACCGACGGATATTTCCATCGTAAATTAACAATCAAGTAAATATTCAACTAATTAAAAAATTAAATATTTTTTATTTAATAATTTAATTTAATCATAATTAGATTAATTTATAATAATTTCTTAAATTAAATAATTTTAAAAAATAAATATTTAATTATATATAAATATATAAAAATATATGAAAATATATAAAAATGTAATAGGGAAAAATAATTAATAATAAAAATATAAAGGAAATAATAAATAATAAAAATAATAAATAAGTTATATAAGTAAAATATTTAATAAATAATAAAAATATTACCGACTGATTCTCGTCCAGTCGGTAATTTCATAAAACATTTAGCGACGGATATATCCGATCGGACTATTAAATCCGTCGGTAATATTTAATCGACAACCAAATTTCGACGGATTTTTAGTCAGTCAAAAATCCGGTCGGTAAATGGATATTATCGACGGATTTTTGTTATTATCGACGGATTTTGACCATCGATAATATTAAAATTTCTTGTAGTATGGTTATTATGTTGCTGATTGTTGAAGCAAAGAAGAAGTAGCGAATATTGCACAAAAGAAAGATTTAGAGAATGAAGTGCTATTAATGGTGATCACAATGAAATTAGTAGAAATTTTTGGTGAATCTTGGTATTTAGACACTGATTGTTCAAATCACATGTCATTTCAGAAGAGATGATTCTTCGATTTCGATAAGAATGTTAAATCAAAGATAAAATTTATAGATAATTCGATAATGAACTATGAAAAGAAAGGAAAAATAATTATTAAAAGAAGAGATAAAAAATTTGTAATAATTTCATATGTGCTCTATATTCCAACCATAAAGCACAATTTGTTAAGTATTGTTTAACTTCTTCAGAAAGGACATTTGATGGATTAGAGATCGAGGGAACAAATGTTGAGAATCTTTGATAAGAATGTGACACCGATTTTGAAGGCACCTTTGAGTAAGAATAGAGTTTTTCGAGTCGATATTCCAATATTAAATAACTTGTGTTTTGCGGCAATAGTCTCTTATGTCAATTGGTTGTGGCATTTAGGGTATGGTCATCTTAACTTTGATAGTTTGAGCCAACTTACAAAAAAGGAGATGTTGATTGGATTGTCTAGAGTAAAAAAATGTAAAGATATTTGTGAATGTTACATGACAGGAAAACAAGCCAAAAATCCCTTTAAGGTGCACATTGAGATCAGAAACAAGGATTTGTTAGAAGCTATATACACTGATGTGTGTGGATCCTTTGATGTTCCATTACTAGATGATAATAAGTACTTCGTAATATTCATTGATGACAATAGCAAGAAGATGTAAGTGTACTTACTTGAGAAGAAGTCATAAGTGTTTAATCGCTTCGTCGATTTTAAATCCATGGTTGAGAAACAATGTGGTCGAGCTATTAAAGTGTTAAGATTGGATGGTGGTAAAAAAATATAATAATGAGTTTGCATCATTTTGCAAGAACAAAGGTATTTTGCATGAGATTGTACCCCCATATTCACCACAACACAATAGAGTTGCGGAAAGAAGAAATCAAACAATTTTAAACATGGTCATAAGTATATTGAAGACCAAAGGCTTGTCACATTCATTTTGGTAGAAGCGATATTGACAATAATATACATTTTAAATCGATGTCCAACAAAGAGAGTGAATGATAAAATATCAAAGAAAGTATAGTCTAGGAGAAAATCAAATATAAAACACTTGAAGATATTTGACTCGATTGCATGGAGACATGTTCCAAATGTGAGGAGGAAAAAACTCGATGATAGAAGTCAAAAGTTAATTTTTGTAGGATATCATGCAGTTGGTGCATATAAGTTGTATGATCCTATCAAGAAGAAGATCATTATCAGTAGAGATGTTATTATTGATGAGAAAGATTGTTGGAAAATGTGTTCGATAATAGAAAATCGACGTGTTAGTTTCGATGACATAGGTGATGCAAAAATCAAAGGCAATGATCAATCAACTTCTAGTATTAAAGGAAATGAAAATCAATCAATATTAGAAATCGAAGAAGACAGAAATTGATCGATTTCTGAAATTGAAGGGAGGAGAAATCGACCTATAAGATCGATTAGAACACCAACAAGACTTAGTGATTATATGATTAATACTGATGATATTGTCACAACAACTGAATAGATGATTGGAGAAATGAAGTACGATAATGATCTTGTACATCTAACATTGTATGTTGATGTTGAGTCTGAACTATTTTGCTTTGAAGAAGCGATCGAGAATCCCAAGTGGATCGAAGTCATGAAAAAAGAGTTGTAAAAAAAGGGAATTAACTGATATCCCAGATAATCAAAGACCAATTGGAGTAAAATGGATGTACAAAATGAATTTAAAACCGGATGGAATTACAAGACATAAAGCCAGACTTGTGGTGAAAGAATTTCTATGAAGAGAAGACTTAGATTACAAAGAAATGTATACACTCATTGCCAGGATGGAAACAATAAGAACAATTATAGCTCTTGTTAGCTATAAAGGGTGGTAGATGCATCAAATGAATGTAAAATCTACCTTTTTGAATGGTGAATTAGAGGAAGAAGTTTATGTTACACAACCACGAGAGTTTGTAATTACTAGAGAAGAACAAAAGGTTCTTAGATTGAATAAAGCGTTGTATGACTTGAAATAAGTCCCAAGGGCTTATAACACTAAAATAGATTACTATCTTCGACAACAAGGATTTTTAAGGTGTGAAGTCGAGTATGAGATTTACTCAAAGATCAACGATGATGTGTTAATTGTTTACTTATATGTCGATATTATGTTGATTACAGGTAGTAAAATTACTTTGATCGATAATTTTAAAAAGAGGATACAAGATTAGTTTGAGATGACTAATCTAGGAAAGTTGTCATATTTTAGAATGAGAGAGTATAGTGCCACAATTACACCAGTTGAAACAAACGTGAAACTTGACAAAGATGAAGATGAGAAACTTGTAATTGCTATACAGACAGATGGTTGACTGCTTAAGATACTTCTGTTATAGTAGAATGAATATATGTTTTGGTATTGGATTGTTAAGTAGATTTATGGAGAAACTCAAAACATCTCATCTTGCAGTAACTAAGAGTGTTCTGAGGTATATTAAAGAGAAGATTGATTTTAGTATTCTATTACCAAATGCTACACATCAAAATGGAAAAGAGTTGATTGGATCCTTGATTATGATTGGGCTAGAGATAAAGTTGGTTTTAGAAGCAAATCAGATTATGTATTCTTGAAAAAATCACCAATTTTATGGTGCTTGAAGTTACAACCTGTTGTGACACTCTAAATACATGGTTATTGCTTACACAACTTATCAAACATTATGGATCGAGAGTTTGGTGAATCAAGTTCTTAGAAATCAAAGAAGACTATGAAACTAAAGATTGATAATAAGTCAACAATCAATTTAGCGAAAAATTTAATCCATCATGATAGAAGCATACATATCGTATTGAAATTTCCTTTCACCATAGATAAAAACAAGGAAAAAGAAGTTAGACTTGAACATTGTGAGATAAAGGAAGAGCTTACGAATATTATGACGAAACATTTGAATAATTGAAAATTAAAAAATTAAGAAAAAAATTGAATATTAAATTGATTATTAAATTAAAGAATTGGGTTAGATAATAATTCTTATAATGATTATTTTAATTAGGTTAATTACCTAATAAACCTTGAATGACTTTTATAAATATTATGAATAAACCTTGAATGACTTTTATAAATATTATATCTCCATAGTATTTATATATAAAATATTTTATAAATATTATATTTCTATAGTATTCATATATAAAATATTTTGTACAGTTTAATATAGATTTTTCTTTTTATACTCTCTATTTTAAACTTTTCTTTTTATACTCTCTGTTCTTAGCCTAGCTAACAGAATTCAATAATTGAGAATACTTTTCATTCCCGACATAAAAAGAATAGTCTACATTTAGATCCCTGCATCCAACCTATATTTGATTTTCAATTTAGATCCTGTATGAAAAAAAAGCTTAATACCAATAGAATCTAGAAAAACGACGAGGACTAATTTGTGAAAAAAGCACGTGTAATGATCAAAATGTAATTTGCTTTTCATGCAAGGACGAAAAAAAAAAGTTACCTACTGACTAAGGTCGTGTATGTTTTTTTATTCAACTAATATTTTAAAGAGATAAAATAACACGTTTTTGTTAAGTTCCATTCTCTCGTGAAAGAAATGTTGGGCAACTATATAAAGAATGCATATAAATGATCATCAAGGAAACCTCAAAATTCTAATAAAAAATGAAACATTCCAACTTTGCAACAACAAAAAGCAAAAGATTGAAACATTTACTTCATAAAACTATTTCACATTTAAATTGAACTTGTTATAAGCTATATTAAGACAGAATGCTATATTAATTCAAGTGATAAAATTTGTAATAATGAGAATTTTTCTTAAATTTGTTTATAATTTTTTTTTTGCAATATTTAAGATAATAAAACATTTGTTTAGAAAATTTTAACTAGCAATGAAGTTTCGCTAACATAATAATAAGATGAAAAAAAAATGTTACAAAGTTCATGGGAATCAACAATTGAAACAGAAGCAAATGCAAAGAAGAAACACAGAGCAATGACAATAAACGAAGGCTGAGACAAAATCTAATAATCAGTGACGGGGAGCTGTTGATGAGTGTTTGGGGCGATGAACAAAATCTGGTAAAGAACAGCAGCAATGGCAGCACCAGAGAATGGGCCGACCCAATAAACCCAATGGTTAGCCCAAGTCCAACTGACAACAGCAGGCCCAAAAGAGACTGCAGGGTTCATAGATGCACCATCAAATGCACCACCAGCCAAGATGTTAGCACCAACTATGAAACCAATGGCAATTGGAGCAATTATCCCAATGTCACCCTTCTTTGGATCCACTGCAGTTGCGTACACCGTGTAAACCAAACCAAAAGTCATCACAATCTCAAACACTAGAGCGTTTCCAGCTCCAACACCAGAAGACAGTGCAAATGCAGATGTTTCCTGCAATGTAACATACAAAACATATACTTCAAATGTAACACAAAACTAGAAAAACGATGTTGTGGAAACTGTTATGTACCATTCCACCAGTGGCAAATTTAAGGAGCAAGCAAGCAGCCACAGAGCCAAGCAACTGAGCAATCCAATACAAAATGCTTCTGAAGAGAGTAATGTGGCCTCCAAGAAAGGCACCAAAGGTGACAGCAGGGTTCACATGACCACCAGAAATGTTTGCACCAACTGAGACAGCAACAAAAAGTGCAAAGGCATGTGACAGTGACGCTGCCACTAACCCTGCCGGTGTTGCTGAACCATTGTTTGTCAGCTTATCTGCCAAACCATAAGTTTGAGGTGAGTAAGAGTGACATATAAAAACGGCTTATATATGTTTAATATCCATGCATTCATTCTCATTGTTCAAAAATACCATCAACATGCATGTTCAAACCAACACAAAGTTTGATAACTAAAAAGAAAGGGCTTACTAAAAGCCATGCCAGAGCCTTCCCCGGCAAAAACAAAGATGAGCATTGAGATGAACTCAGCAAGAGCAGCCTTAAGCGCGTCGACCTGGCTAAACTCCGAGGTATTTCCAACAGCAATTCTAGAAATCGGCATTTTTCTTCTTCCTCTCACTTATTCTCTGCTTGTTGTGACTTTGGAATGGAATAGAAGAGAAAGAATGCCTTAGCTTAAAGTAGTTGTTCCGAAGGTCTGTGAAGTGGTTAAGGGTGTTATATAGTACTACACCACACTATAGTTAGCCAAGTTTAAGGTAAGAAGGAAGAAAATTCAAACTCTTTGCCACCTGTCTAGTGTCTAGGGTGGTGGAGGGACAAGCCTCCCGGTCGCTCTTGTGATGCCACGTGTACGACATGATGTGGACTAATCAATGATCACCGACCAATTGCCGTTGGTGTGGTGGGCCCTTCAATCAATTCGCACTTTTGGACCAAACCTACCCTTTGAATTTTACTGGGCGGTGATGTGGACCGGCCCAATAATGTTGGATTCATTTTCTATTCACCGTTATTAATAACCTTGTCAACTAATTTGTTTTGCAAAAGAAGTTTCATTATTAATACCAACTGGACTCATCTTAACAATTTGTTTTGTTTTATGAACTTTTATTTAGGTGGCTATATTTCTTACGCATAAGAGTTTGTCTGATTATTTCTTCTTTTGAAGAATAGCAACTGAGTCAAATACTACTGTAAATAGTTTATCTTTTATGTTTTTTTGTCAAAAATTAATTGTATTGAATTCCATGTGTTTGGTGGAAATGATGAGATGGAAGTCTAATGAGCAATGATCCCAATAAACATGAGATGGTGGTACTGTTTTTTAAGTCAGTTTCAGAATTTAAAAGGTAATTAAGATCTGGCCCACGAAATTATTGGCTCTTATTGGTTGTGAGATTGGAGGTGTGCCAGGTTCATTCATTCTAAGCTGTGGGATGACAAAATTGCTTAGTTGAAAGCTGGTAACTTGGTTTGCTTAAAATAGCAATTAAACAAACAATCATGAAACTGCTCTAGCTTATGATGCATCAGAAGCCACAAGAATTTTCAAATATTCATGTCCAATTGCTACACTTGTCTATCATTTGAATTATTATAACTTTTAAGGCTTATCTGAATCATTATTTCTTTATTATGGTCGGTTTAAAGGACCAAAACTTTAAACCAAGGTCGCATTTTCTTTTTCTGATTTGGCAATACTGAGAATACCAATAACGAGAGTAACACTAAAGAAAAGTAATACAAAAGTATGTCACAACTTGGAGGCAGCCAGCAAGTCAGTGTCAAAATTTTGTCCTCTAACGTTTATATATATAGTTGGATTTTGTAGAAGGATTAAATAATATTTCAGCCTGTGAAATATGAAATATATATTTTTTAATTTTATTAATAACACAATTTAATATTAATCATTATAAATAGGTTTTCGTTGGTATATCACTGTATATAAACAGTTGTAATTTACTTAGAAAAAGAGTAAACTGTTTGTTAAGTATTTTAAACAATTATTTAATGTGCAATTAATTATTTGAAAATCCATCATATCAAATAAGTCCGTCAAGGAAGTGTTTAAATGTCTAAAGGTCATTTGATCTATTTAACTAAAAGCATGATCGTTCAATTAAGTTATTTTTGAATTTCAGAAGGCGATGTGTAAGACGGTGGTGGTGAAAAAGGGACGAAAACATAGTAATTATGTGAAAAATAAAACTTTCCTTGCATCCCTGCACCCAATTCCGCTTGAGAGTTCCGTAATAATCTATTTTCACAAATCACTAAAGCCATACTCAGGATAGTGGTGGTAATTTGACTGAGCTCAACCTAACCTTACGCTTTAAATTAATTAAAAATAATCTCACTAAAATGGTAAGCCCAAACAAGTTTGTGAATTCAATCGCATGGTCCATTATATTTATTTAAAAATATAATTTAGAACTAAAAAAAAATAGGTTTTATATCTCAAAATTTAAATATGAACTCAATTATCCTAATTTATTATTTAAGAATTAAAAACAGTTTTAAAAAATCATTTGATTTCCTCAAATTTAGTGTTTAAAAAATTAAAACAAATAATTGCAGATCACCATTTAATGAATCAAATCCGAAATTAAAAAAAAATTAAAAATATAATTTAATCAAAATCCGTATACTAGCCTATAATAGATACCCATAAAGGGACTCATCCTAAAACTTCAAAGTATCCAATCAAATTTTAAACACTGAAGATGAAGAAAGACTTTGTCAAAAATTCAGAACAGAATACTTAGCGTGTGCACTCATGACATATTGGCTTTAGGATAAATCACGGCACTAAAGGCTGCTTAGTTCCAAACTCCAGAAAACAAAAAAAAAAATCATGATTAACACGGGTATTTTCTCTTAGGTTAGCAATTTGGTATTGTTGCGAACAACAAAATCCTGAGTCCCGATCAATTATCAGATTAAAGTAATCACAAAGTGAAACCATTGTTTCAGAATTGCTTGGTATGAATTTCTCAACCACATTTTGAGTGAACAACTGAAATGGAAATAGGAACATGGAGTGTATACAACATCTTCATTTATTGCAATTTCTGAAAGTTAAACAAGCAAAGCTATCTTCAGACATCTAATACGATGTGCAAAGGCAGTGCAAATCTTCCATTCCAAAATCACCTGGAAGAATAGAAACAGCATAAATTGTCCATGCCAAAGATTTGGTGAGAACTTCAGAACAGAATATGCTCAGCATATGCACTCTTTGACATAAATTGGTTTCGGAAAACTAAGGTATATTATTAAATGCTGTTGAGAAGCAAATTACAGAAAGCCTCCCCCCCCCCCCACCAAAAAAAACAATAAGATTAATACAAAAAGAAAAAGAAACAAAAACTCCAAGTTCCCAACAATTATCACATTAGAGTAATCATAGAGTGAATCTCTTTTGTTAAGTAAAGAATCAAAATGGAAATAGCAGCATGGAGAGAGTGTAGAACATCTCTTTTATTACAATTTGTAAAACCAAAACAAACAAAGCTCTCTGAACACAATCTAATACAATGTGCAAAACCAGTGCTCATTCCAAAGTCACCTGGAAAAATGTAAAGCATAGCATCCTATCAATTGACTCTAGAAATTTATACGTATGGATAAGATTAAGAAATAACGAGACAAACAAATGTTAAAATTTCAACAAGTGGTTCAAGCATCAAAGTCTATTGTAAAATACGATATTTGAAGAGATATTTATCATTCAGTTGGTTAAGAACAACAACAACAAAGCAAACCCAGTCTCATGCAAAATTATTCATATTATTGTAAGTTGATTTTCAGATCATCATCTGAAAATTTCAAACCTAAAACACCTCATCATCTCTCACATAAATATAAATAATATCACACTTTGATCTTCATCGGAATCATGAGTCAGTAATAACTGCGCACGAGTCAGTAATAACTCCACAAAGAAATCGTGCATTGAATAATTCACATCCATCAATTTGAAAATTGCATGCAAAATAGGCACATCCACAATACAAGATTAGAATGACAACCAGTTTAAGTGCCATCACACTTCTAATATATCAATAGAGCCACATCAATTTAACTAGAGCATAGGATAGAGAATAATGTAAGCTATAAAGAAATGGGACTAAGAAAGAGGTGAAAAATGTGTATGCGGGAGCTTTGAATTGCTGTAATTGTTCATAACGAGTTTATAATGGTATAGCATTTGCTTTTACATCAAATCAACAACGTTAATTGAACACATATAACGACGGATGCTTTTATTTCACCAAAAGTCATCACAACTCTACCCAACTGAGTGCTCAGAAGAAAAAAAAAAAAACATTATAGCTAAAAAACTAGAATGTCAGATTTCCAGCACACGAAGAACCTGCTATGTTGTATCGATATATGCATTGAACTCCAATGAGTTAAAATTTGAATTTTCAATAATCGAAACACACGAGAAGTACATTCACATCAAAAGGACAAATGCGTGAGAAAAACGCTAGGGTTTGTGAGGGGAGCGTTACCTCTTGTGTGCCTGGACGAATTTTGACTTTTTGGCGTCCTCCTCTACGAAAAAAGAAGCCATCGAAAATCAGATTCAGAGCAAAAACAAAATTTCAGAGATAAAAAAGAGAGCGAGGGAATCGAAGATGAGAGAAGAAGAAAAAGGATTTACCAGTTAGACCAAGAGATAATTTGGTGATGACCGTTCCGGTGACGGCGAATCCGACCAGGAAGGGCCAATTTCGTTTCCATTCTCGCTTGAAGAAAACAGGCCAAGGATCGAACAACCGCATTTTTCTTCACTTCTCTTTCCCTTCCTTTCACTCTGCTCCTCCACCCCAAGATCAAATACCTGTTATTCTCTTCGGTCTCTCCTTCAAACCAAATGGTCTTTGTTAGGCCCAGCCCAAAATTCACAGCACTTAGTGGGCTAGGTATTTGGGCCGATCAAAATTACAATAAACTTTTTAAAAATTACTATTAGTTTATATACAAATTAAAAAAAATATATAAGAAATTCTATAAATTAACTTATAAGGGACTTAGAACCTTGTTATTATTTCTTGTCCGTAAGGAATTGTCGAGTAAGATGACGTGGTAACATCAATTTTAAAAAGTTAAGCACCGTATTTTGTAAAAACAACTTTCTTAAAAGTTATTTTTTTCGATTTTTTTCAATTTGTTCTCGTGATTTTCACAAATAAGATTCAACAAATGAGAAAATGAAACAAATCAGATAAAAATGTTCACCGTGAGTCTAATTAAAATAAAAAATGGTAATTAAATGATGAGTTACTTATAAAAACTTACCATTGAAATGAATTTATAAAAATTTAAAGAAATTTACTTAAATATGATGTAAGATTGTATATCAACTTTAAGAACCTATCATTAAAGAAACAATTTTATTATCTACTCACTATCATATATAATAATATAAATTAATTAACTAGATGTGATTTGATGGTATCATATAAAACTAAAACATTAACTCTTATATCACATACAGATATTAGAACCCTAATAATCCATATTATAATTAGAAACAATCAAGAATCATAACAAAAAAAGGAAAGTAATTAATTTTTTTATGAGAAAAAGAAAAAATAATCTAAAATACTACCTAATTATTTTAAGATATAATTAAGGCATTGTGCTTATAATTATAATACATAACAGTGAAAAATATATTATAGTTTAACTAGTAATCATATTTCATTACATTCAAAATTTCCCGAAGTCCAGAAGAACATTCAAAAGCTGAGCAATGATTAATAAGGGGAACATAAGTGTCTAGTTCTCTCATCATACATGATTATCATCTACTTTCTTTGTTGCTGTCTTTCTTTTCTAGGTTTTGTCCCCCTTGATTCCATTTTTCACCTTTACAAATCATTTGCCATTGCCAATCATCATTCCCATGCAAGCGCACACTGGTTGAAATGATTATGATGGAGGTTTTGGTTAAGTTCGTTCAGTCAATACTGATATGCATTAAATAGTGTATTTTTGACTAACTAAGCGCCTAAAATCATTACAAGTGAAATTACTCTGCACCCGTTGGTTGAACATGATTTGATTTCTGTTTATTGTTTCTTCTCCTAAGCTCTCTTCGTCATTTTGCTTCACCTTTTTGACAATTGAATTTTACTATGATTGAATGAATAAGAAGAACATGTTTTTAGTACTACTATCATGAAGTCAAAAACAAAATTGCGCAATCATTATGTTTATAATTTTGTTCAGCAATTATTCATGTGCAAGATTTACTTTCATTCTCTCCTCTCACTGCACATTCCATGCATATAGAAAGACAAATGTTTGACTCGATTTTTAACTACCATCATCATAAACATATTATCTCTATGAATTTTCTTTAATTTGAAAATCTGTCCCCTTTTCTTTTTCAGCGAAGCCTACTAAATCAATACTTGTAAACGATATATACTGTTTATATATTCGTTTTCATACTGAAATTACTTGAAGAGAAGGGAACAACACCACCATATTAAAATCTCGGCTCTTTTTCTGCCGCCACCCACCTACTCGTTCACCAACAGTGAGAGGACCCTTCTCTTTCTTTCTGCTGATTAGTGATGCAAGATGATATATAGAAACTTTCATCATTCTGTGAGTGTGATGTCTAAATTTTGGACTCGAAAGCCCTTTAAACTTTTTCATATTTGTAGTTTTTTCCTCCTTTCTTGGGGGTTCAGTCAAACCGAACTCCAACTACCTTTTCGTATGTGTATAAATATGGTCAAATAAACGTTGAAAACGAACGTTTGCGTTTTGACAAAGACATTCACTGTTAATCAGTTTCCAATTACCTTTTCAGGATCCAATGTTAAAGTTATGGTTTCTGATACTTGATTGGTTGGTGCCATTATCACATCTATAGCATTTAAACAACCCGCTTTCGGCATCTTAATCAACTTTCTCCGCTAAGCTCCAGTCACCAAATGTGTTCTAGTCTAGGAGACAAATATTCTAATTCTAGCCATAGTGTTTTTAGGCTAATCACAAAAAGAAATTTTAGGGTTCCATGGTAAAAACTGTATATTACAATGCTATTTAATTAATACTTAAGAGGGTAAAGTTTTACATTTAGATATATACAAATTCAAGTGAAGCCTTTTTTTTTGGTTTGCCATGTCTCTGTCATTTCTTAAAAGCAAGTATAACTAAGGGCTGCAGACCACAACTGCAAGTTGGATACATTTATTGTGTTACACACTGTGCAAGTCATGTTTTTATATCTGTAATGTCCCATCTGATTGGATTTCTGTAGTTTTGGTTCTCTCTCTCTCTCTCTTTTCTATCTAGTTTGCATCATCACGTTATCATGAACATGAAAGACCAGTGTAATAAGACAGGTGGAGAGAGAAACACGAGGATAAAGGCTGGTAAATGGTTCAACGGGTCAGCCAAAATTTCCTGGTAGTTTTGTACCATCTGCAAATTTAGACTGATATATTCTACAATCTCTGTATATACAGTTTTAACTGTTTCAACATTTAAAAAGTATATTATCAATAATTTTACAGTTTTTATTTTGATTAATTATGATGAAGAAGGAACATATGAGGACCAAATTAACCTAAACCGTGGTTGCTTTCAGTGTTCCTTGAAGTCAAGAGTTGGTCGCAGCCACGTGGTTCAACCTACCAGGTGAATGGGTGTATATGATAGCATAGAACCTTAGCACATGTCTTGTGGCATGCACAACGAACACGCCAAGCGTCGAGCCAGAATTCGAACGGCCATGCGAGGCTCTCGTGTGTGTGTGTGTGTATGAGCAAGTCTTTGCTTTTGCTGACTCGTTTTTCCCCAAACGTGTCTCATCCTCTGTACTCCCACGTGACATAGACCTAATTGCATGTGCACTCTCCCACATCAATAATCACATAGGCATAGACTCTCTGCAACTGCTCCTCCATCCACACCTTATTACACTCATATATAAAGACAAGGTTTAGTTGCATACAAAACATTGTCACCAGGAACACCACCAATAGTATACATACACAAATTTATGACTATTAATCTTATATTTATAATGCAATCGAACTTCACGTACTAAAGTGACAATGTAACATACAACAGGTGAAGTTGTTATCCACTTTGTTGGATCAATCTTCTGATTCTGACATACAGACAACACTGCCTTAATGCATCTGCTTGCTGTTATTTATCATTATTCATATTCCATAGATTAGGTTTTCACTCACGTACACTGTTTTTTCTTTCCTTTTTTTCCTTTTTAGCATTCTTATCTAATAGAGAGAAGACATTTAATAAAGTATAATATCTCTTAAAAGAAAAAGAGTGTTATCTGTTTTCCTGAGCAATAGATTCATTGACTTAGATAAAGTTTTGAATATCTCAAAGAGTACATTCTTGCCACGACATATATTTATTACTATCTTTGGTGAATCAGAATGTGTTATTATGTGCCTTACGCTAAGATATTTTATGTGTTGCAGAATTGCGTAAGGGTAAACCTTTGAAGGTGCACAACACCATTGACAAAGCAAAGCCTCTTAGATTGCTTGCACATGTAATCACGTACATTGCATGTGAAGAGCCGCAGGTAGATACATTGAATTCAGAATATGTCACTTTTAATTAAGCACCTTTGTCTTATGCAACTTCATTATAGAATTAGTGACTTTGGACTTTTCTTCCCTTCAACCAAAACTCACAGACAACCACAATGTTTTCACTGATATTTTAATTGTCTCCCCAAAGTATAGTTTAGAAGATTGAGTTACAAAACATTAAATCAACTGAAAGTGTGAGAGTTTGATTATTCTATCTATTTCCCATCGTGGTATAGATAATACGTGAAATGGGTTTCTTCGTCTTAATTAGATTAGAACTCAGAAATATTATACTCTTTTTCAGCGTTTGGCTTAAACGGAGACGACAAAACATGTGCCAATGCGCGGTTTGTCGGAAGCTAAAATAAAAAATTGTGGCTTTTGAACAAAATTCTCCATCCACGTTCGTTGCCGTTGGTATAACTCAGAACAAGGTTGTCTTTTTCGTGTTTGTTTCGTACTGCCTATAAAATAGAAAATTAAATAGGAAAAATAATAGTATTGGAAGTAAATTTTCGCCGACAACACTGCTAGATAACTGCACAGATGAATTCTAAAAGCATAACTATTTTAATACATTTTTTTTATCACTAGCAACATATATTTGTTAATATATTAATTAGATATTAAATTTTATTAAAAACTGAATAAAATGTTTATTAAATAAAAACAAAGTCTATAAAAGGAAATTATAATTTAATAATAATAAATATGAATAAATTCTAATGATAACATTCTCATATTGTATTTACATTTACATGGATTTTTTTAATATATGTTCAAGTGTGTTATACGTAGGTCTTTCTATTTAATATAAGATAAATTAAAATTTTTGGTTAATTTTAAAATATAAATACGAATGAACAAAATCAAAATCTCTTATTTGATCTTGTAAATCAGTTACACCGTACTCAACTGTTCATTTTGACAATTATATAAAAGAACATCTTCTAGGTTACATGTTCAAGTAACCTCGTTTGAATGTTTGAGATTGGAGTCACAACATCTTCTTGCAGGCTGTGGCTAGAATTAAGTTCAATGAAATTAATTGCCTTAGCATCATTCGAGCTCCTAGTTTCTAAATATATTTTTGAAACAAATGCTTTTAACTTGAATTATTATACTATAATTTTTAAAATTTAGAGTTAGTTTTCACTAAAAACTAAACAATTTAAAAATATGTAAAGAGAGATACATATATAGGTATTCTTTTATATTATTTGAGAACTTTTATTGCTTATTTATTTAGAAAATTATTTTAACTTTAATTTGAATTAAAAGATTGGTGTTGAGTTATACATAGAGAGAAAAATTCATAAAATTAGGGTTAAACCATTCTGTTAAAAAAAATACAAAAAAAATTAAGTTGTATTTCATTTTCAATTTTTTCAATTTTAGTTTTTTTTTTTAATTACTTTGACTTTTAACATCTTATAATTTTTAATAATGATACTATTTTGGATATAAAATCAATTATAAATACTTACCTTAATTATATTTAAGATCTTCCACTATTTTAATTTTTACCAATACTATAATTTAAAAAAAAAAACTTTACTAACAAACACACACACAAAAAAAACAACCTTTACAAATAACCTACAAATAGAAAAAACTGTTTTTTTTTTTACTTTTTTTATTATTAGAGGGACTGTATATATATAAAAGGAAACTTAACCTAGTTAAATAACAGAAATGTAGGAACAGAAACATTAGACGGTCCTAAAAGAGGGAGAATTTTGGGGATTTTCAAACGATATTCACCTGAGAGAAATATCGAAAGTGAAAACTCTGATTTATTTATTTATTGTAGGGAAGGTTTTGGCATTCTTTAATTTTCAATGATATGGTCAAGTTCGTGTGGATCTTGGTGAGCAAGTCCCCACTTTCTGTGAGTACTCTACTCTCCCATGCCATCCCTTTGTTTTGTCCTATGTGCCCTCTCTCTCTCTCTCTCTCTCTCTCTCTCTCTCTCTCTATAAATAACCCTCATTGTTCTTCCCTTAGACTCCCCTAGGAAGATAACACTTTTGTTCTCCCATTCTCTCTGCATCTTTTCTTTCACAACATAACCATGGAAGATCCCTTGGGTTCCATACTCAATTTTCACCAGGTGGGTATTGCATATTTCCCTTCTCGATCATCATCATATTTTACTTTTTTATCTTGTTCATCTTTCACTACTTCTAACCATTAATCACTCATTTTCCTTTCATATGAGACTATTGCATACTGCATACATGCTTTCTCTGTGTTTCTTTCACTAGTTTTCCAGTTTCAAGAGGGGTTGATCATTGTTTAAATTTAACGTTAAAGGGTTTGATAATTTCTTTTACTACATCACCAATGTTTTTTTCTCCTCCTCCTTCTCCTCCTCCTCTTCTTCTTCTTCTTCTGTACACGATGAAGTAAGAGTTCAGGTGCAGTTTTCTCGGTGATTCCTTCTCCTCTTGGATAGAATGTGTTTCGTGTTCGTTCAAACTCTTCCAAGAATGAGACATGTCACGGAAAAATTATGCAGACCAAGTCTCCCGCATTAAATTTCAGGGCCCCATATTAATTTCACTTTACAAATTTATTCTTTTTTTATTATTATTTTATGTTCCTTGATTTATTTTATTAATAATATATCTTTTTAAATATTTTCTTTCCTTCTTGAATAAGGAAAGATCCATACATAGTTGACCCCTTTTTCCTGTAATTTTGTTTTTCATTATTATACACTAAATACCCATATTTCTCGCTGTTTCTAAAACGTTCATCTTCTGTGAATTGAATTTTCCTTTACCAAAAAGCTTGAGATTTTCTTTTTACTTACGCAATTATTGAGATTTTTTGGCTCGCGAATTAGAATCTACGACTATCCAAAAGTATGGGCGGTGTCAATTGTCGTTTTTCAAGCCAAAGGGTTTATCTTTTGTGTTTACACTCATTACACATCAAAGTTGTCACTTTCTTTCTTAGTCTTTACCTTGATATGTGTTAGGTTTGCACAAAAATTCACAGTCACAGTCAATAATCTCGGTGTGCATGAGACATGTGCGTGAGAAAAGAATGTTCAAAGTAGTTTTGGTTCATTGATCATTCAGGACATAAATTTTCCAAACCCCACTTAACTCTTTTTTTCTCCTTCTGCAGAGTTGTGATGAGTTGAAGCAAAATCTCTTGGCCACCACCCTGGAGCTGGAGACCATGAAGAACGTGAACAAGGAACTGATAAATCAATTGAAGATGGCTTACAAAGAGAGGGACGAAGCAAGAGAAGAACTTCAGAAACTGGTGAAAAAACTAACATCCCCCACTCTGGTTGAAAAGATGATTCCAACACCAACCAAATCGAGCATCACAGAATCCAACAGCCCATCGCACGTTTCCTCCCCCGTAGATTCCCTTCTCGACGCTGTTTCTCCTCGGGAGTTCTCCAACTTGAACATCATTGTGGACTCACACAACAACATGGCTTATCATCTCAAACAACCTTTGGTTCAAAACACGAGGGTCTCTCAGAGGCGCACGTGCGATGTTGGGGACGAAGTGATCGAACACCTTGCCAAGAGAAGAACTTTGCCCCAAAAGGGTATGCTCCTAAAGGCTGTGGTGGATGCGGGTCCCTTGCTTAAGACTCTCCTTGTTGCGGGCCCACTTCCCACGTGGCGAAACCCCCCTTCATCGCAGACCATAGAGACTCCATGCCTCAATGTTCAAGACATTGGTTCCAATAATGTTAATACGTTCAATTCACTTCAGAAACCAACGCTTGCATTTGCATCTTCTCGTTCTTTGCAGCCATCTGTACTCAATGTTTCTGTTTCGAACAACAATGCATTGCAGATGGGTTCAAATGCTACTTGCAAGAACCTTGCCCCATCAAGGATTCCACAGGGCCATCAGTATCTTCTATGAAATTGATTCGCCCTCCCAACTATTTTTATTCTGTAAATTGAGTTAGAATTTTTGGTGTAAATGGCATACCCGGCTTTGATTCAATTCTCAAGCTGACCTAGTTTGGTTCTAGTTCAAAAGTAGTCCTCATCTCCAAACATGACAATTTATTGCAAAATTTGATTAAGAGTACTATCTTCTTCCTCTTTTTACCTGTAATTTTTCATTTATATCTGTTCAGTAAATATTTGTTTTATTTTATATATAAAGTAATGTCACCATAATGAATCACTTGTTTAACAGAGACAAATATATGTGTCGACCAATTTTAGTTTTACACTTAACATATCAGTTTTCTATGTTCATAAACTATGTTGAATAAATAAATTTGCGTTCATACACTATTTTTATTTATGACGCTAGTTTTATGCATGTTCTAATAAGATCTTTATGCAGTTTTTCCCCAACAGAAAACAGCATCCATATGTAGTGTGAACGACATATTCATATAATCCAGTATTATTTGAGTTATTCTGTTGAGTTTGGAAGGGTTAACTCTGAGTCGTGTGTGATGATCGATCTGTTCAGTGTGTAAGAATGATGGGTCGTGTTGTGAGATTAAATTTGATTAAAGATGAAGCTATTCTTCCAAACTTGGTTTTATCAAAAGCTGATTTGCAATGTGATGCAACATTGTGGATAACAATATTAGAAGTTTGAATAATAATTGCTACAACATGGGCTTCTTGTTTACTTGGTCATTTGGGAACTTACGATATTATTGTGAAGTGATGGAATGGGAGTAGCAAATAAATGCAAATTGCCTAAGCAGCTAGCCAGTTGAGGAATTCACCATAAATACAAATACGTGAAGAAGCAGAATTGTGAATTTATGACCATACTTGGTTCATACTTCGACAAATCCAGACGCAACACGACCAGTTGAACAAACTTCTTAATTTCGACAACCTTGTATGTTTTAGCAGAAATTATTAGGCAACGTTCGTAGTTGATTACATAATGTGGAAAGATTGATTTGAATAAATGATTTCTAGTAGTTAATCCTAATTTAGTCTTATTCTACGCAACTTCTATAATTGTGTTTTGGGTCTAATATGTACATGATACTTCCATAATTTTTTTCTAACAAACAAGTTCACACAGGTTAGGAGTTTATTACATAGAATTAAGACTCGCTACAAAATTTAAACTTGTATCATGTGAGACCTGAGTCTGATATTCACTATTGTATTGTTTTACATACACCGGGCTTCCGCTATCCAATTCGCAAGGTTGAGACAGTTTTTTTTTTAAGTGTGATTTTTTATATTTTAGATGTGATTTTTAAAAACTAATAATTATAATTTTACATTTCAAACCTGATTTTTTTTCCTTTTCAACAGGCTTCCAACATACGTTAGAAACCATAACCAATTACGAACAAGAACTTCGAATTACTTTTATAACTCTTTTTTCTTTGTACCTATCCGTATTTTTGTATGTATATTCCAAAAACCAAATTTCCCTAGTATTTGAAGAATTTGCAAGTGTTTCGAAACATTATTCCTGGATCTTCTTTAATGTTAATACGCTAAATAATACGCAGTAACAAACAAACTCGCGGTACCTTGTATCACTGACTATAACTGTAACTGAATCATCCATCATACAAGTTACACATTTAATTACCATACGAAATCTACCAAATTTTATAATTTTCAACAAATTCAATCTAAAGGAAATAACATGTTCAAAAAAATGTATTACAAAGAGTCTTCTTAGCAATTTTATTGAAAAAATAACCTAAATTATATAAATATATATTATCTAATTCATAAAAAGGAAAAAAAAAGTTATTTCAGCTAATCCAAGGCGGTTAAACCAAAAGAAATTTCAAATTTGATTTTTGCATACATGTAAGCCTTAACTAAGATAATGGTACATCAAAATTAAATTCAGTATTGAATTAGAGACAATGTGATACGTCCATCATCGAAAAAATTGCTCAAAAACTAAAATTCGAAAATGAATCATGATAAGTCATTTACTCATCAAATTAGACATTGGGACAAAAGTAAATTTAATTCCAATTGAACTAAAAATACACCAGATAACAAACAGCAAAACCTTAGAACTTAACCTAGTTTCAAATGTCTCCCTCAGACATCAGATCACCACAAAACAAACTACCATCTAAACATAAATTGAATTTGGAGAGGCCAGGTATTAATTTATATAATTCCAATCTTGTTGGCCACATCCAGGGCATCATAATCAGGTGTCAACCTGACATAAGCCTTCTTGGTACCATCAGGCCTGCAACAGAATGATGAATATTCAGAAGGGATAGTATATATTGCAAGTATGAATGCAATTCTTCCACATAAATTTGTTGTTTCATTAGCATGTTATTGCTGCTTTGGATCATATTAAATACATTCAATACATGTCACAATTCAAAGTTGCAGAGTGCACGACATGAGCCATGTTATCACGTCAGCGTGCCACAAGCCAAAAAAAGGAGCATGGATGTCTTGGTATAATAAATGGTCGGAAGCTAAACTGCAATGTCAATCTAAATGCAGAAATACCATTGGCACAAGCAATCACGAACCACCGTACAAATTCTAAAAGCATCACTACATAGAGGCTCACCTGATCAAGGTGTTAACTTTCTTGGCCTGAATATCATACATCTTCTTCACTGCATCCTTGATCTTCTTCTTGTCAGCCCGCAGGTCGACAATGAAAACCAAAGTGTTGTTGTCTTCAATCTTCTTCATTGCGGACTCAGTTGTGAGAGGATATTTCAGTATCTGATAGTGATCAAGCTTATTCCTGGGAGGAGCACTAATGCGCGGGTATTTGGGGTTCCTATCCTTTTTCAAAGTCTTTGGCCGATGAAAGGTAACAGAAGTTCGGATCTTTTTGGCCTTCTTCTTAAAGGTAGCACCTGACTTAACTGCCTTAGCAGTTTTCAAGGCTTGTGCCTTAGGATCGGCCTTCTTTGTACTATCAGCTGCATTAAACAATTGCTCTAGTCACAACAAATTGCATAGAAATGTTAACTATTTTTAAACAGCATAATCCTCAATACAATGCAGGGAATTCACCGATTCCATTCCAATGAAACTGAAAGAATAAACCATACAACACAAGTACAATAACCAAATCTCAATCCCTACAGCATTTGTTGGAATTCCCAATTTTCATTTTCCGACGCTGAGCCTAGGGTTTGGAATATCAAAACCTACTAAGAGACTAAAAACGAATATCCAACCACTGGTTGCCAATGTTCATAAGGCAGATTTTCGAAATATTAAGCAATACCTTTAGGAGCCATGTGTCGTGAAAGGTGAAGGAACCCTAGTTGTTAAATCTTGGCGAAACCCTAAACGAAAAAACAAAATAAGAGATAAGGTTTATGAAATGTATTGAACTAAACGGAGAGAAAACGGGGAATAGAGCAGAGCAGAACCTGCGCGAGAGAAGCAGTGGCAACCTCAGGTTTAGGGTTTGGTTCGAAATTATATACGGGCTTCCTTAGAAATGGTTTCTGTCATGACTCCTGGGCCTAGGCCCATTTACAATCATGACGTCCAAACCCAAGACCATGAACATTGTTTTTCACTATATTAAAGGATATTTCAATACTTGTTTAATTTGTTTCGATTTATTTTTTGTATGTTTGATTCATTACATATGCATTATTCTATCGCCCTTAAAACTGGTAAAAAGTAGAGAAGAAAGAAACATATATGCATTAATAATTAATAGAGTAGAAAAGTACTTACATGGTTAAAAAAGAGAGTAGAAAAATAATAGAAAAGTACTTTCACAAAATTCAATTAAAGATATTATTCGTGGCTGGAATTATACTCAACAATCGTTGGTTGGATTACATTTTGAAAATAAAACTAAAAATAAATAAATCAAGCAATTAATTATAAGCTAGTTTATAACTTGAGTAGCAAATACTGAATACAATTTTCACTAATGAATTTTGTCCTATAAATATTTTTTTACAGTATAAAAGATTTTGTTTTGCCGTATTTTTGTGTAGACTATATGTTCTCAGGTGAGTCTCCGTTATTTACAGTAGAATCGTTGAATCCTTGCAAATCAGACCCATAAATATGACCCATTTTGGTCCTCTTTGTTTCCAGGTAGCGTTTGTTTTCTTCAGTGATTGGTGTCAACACAGGAACACGCCCTACCACTGCCAAACCATATCCTTTCAGACCAACGAACTTTGCAGGGTTGTTTGTCATAAGCCTCATAGTTCTAACTCCTATATCCCTCAAAATCTGCATATTCCATTTTTTATTAATCAACAACAACATAAAAAAAAAAAAACATTTACATTATCATTTTATTCTTAGTTTTATTGAATATTCTTGACAGAACTGAGGATATTATGTGATGGCATGGTCAAATTCCTGACTCTTTTTTAGTTGAAATATTGCATGTGATTAATGCTCAAAACCTTGGCTGATTATTGTTGGTGTAAGCTAGAATGAAAGATAAATCTGACCTGTGCACCAATCCCATATTCTCGAGCATCAACAGCTAAACCGAGTTCTATGTTTGCCTGGACCGTGTCATGACCTTGATCCTGCAAATTATAGGCTTTGAGTTTGTGACCAAGTCCAATTCCTCTTCCTTCATGACCTCGAAGATACACAACTACTCCTCTACCTGCTTCTTCTATTAACCTCATTGCTAAGTCTAACTGGTTCCCACAGTCACACCGAGCTGATCCAAATATGTCACCAGTTAAACATTCTGAATGTACTCGTACTAGCACATCTTGCCCATCTCCTATGTCTCCCTATGTATATATATATACAAGACAACAAGTAAGGGACCATCTTAAGAGATTATAATTGACAATATCTTATGTAGTTGACATGAGTGTCTTAGCAGCTTTGTGAATAAAATGAACGAGGTACTAAAAACTAGGTGTAATTGTGAATTCATTTTATACATACACAACCTCCATACCTTTACAACAGCCACATGTTCAGTTCCATCCAACTTTGAGCTGTAGCAATATGCTTGAAATTGACCCCATTTAGTAGGTAGGCGAGAAACTGAAGTTCTTTCAACCAACTTTTCTCTCTTTCTCCGGTACCTTGAAGAAGACACATATAACTCACATCATTAAGTGAAGTTGATTAGCCTATTAATTATAACTAAAATCATTTACAATTTCTCACAATGAAGGTAAGGTAAAGGTCATTGAATACTCACTCGCTTACCTTATCAAATCAGTTATTGAGACAATTGGCAAAGTGTATTCCAATGCTAACTTTCTTAAATTGGCCAAAGATGCCATAGAGCCATCATTTTCATCAACAAGAGCCGAAAGAACAGAAACTGGGGGCAGGCCAGCCAGTGCAACTAAATCCACTGAAGCCTCAGTGTGACCTGCCCTTCTAAGAACCCCACCATTTCTGTACTTGAGAGGAAACAAATGACCTGGTTTTCTGAAATCTTCTGATTTGGACTCCGGAGATGACAGAGCAATAACTGTTTTCGCCCTATCAGCAGCTGATACACCCGTGGAAGTTCCACATTTCACATCCTAAGGTAAAACATCATACTTTCATAATCCTCAATGATTGCTCTTGAGCTTCAAATTTATGCACCAATCTGTAACTTTTTATAGATAGGCTTCAAAACTTCGAATCTATACAATACTTACCACTGTGATAGTGAAGGTGGGAGCAGAAGAATCCTCATCTTCAGTCTCTGGTGACATGAGAGGGAGGTTCAGTCTTTGAAGATCCTCCTCTTTCATGCCAACTGAAACGATCCCAGATCCGTGCTTAATCATAAAAGCAATATCCTTGGGACTTGTTAGAGATGCTGCCATTATAAGATTTCCTTCAACATCGCCGTTTTCATCATCTACCACAATCACAAACTAAACAAAATACTGCACCAGTTATTCGATTAATCCATCAAGTTTATTATCAAAAGTGTAAACACGAGCATATTTATTTGTGTACCTATCTCATACATTAGCTTATTTTGGAGAGACAAACCTTATTAGATGGTTTTTTAAACAAACACTCCAAAAATAATTTGTACAAACACAAAATATTATTGTATGATCTATACAGTCATGTCTCTAGCTATTATCCCAACCAGTTTTCAAGTGATCATGTTGTCAAGCTTGTTAATTTATAAGGGACGTGATAAAACTCAATTACTGGTGAGATTGATCGGAATCATTGACACATGGTGATCTTGAACGATACACTAATGTCCAACTTATAAAATTTATAAATACTCGCAGAGAAGTCTGATATATAAGGCTAAAACGGCTATAACTACAAGGTATGCAAGTTAAATTTAACTTCTGATAAAAAATTGATTCATGATTCATGTACATGCTTGTTAGTTAATATTTTGTAACATTGAGCAATCGCATAGAACCAACCTTTCCTTGGCGTAATGCATTAAGCGCCTGTTCAATGGAAGAGTAGCCTTTAGAGGGACAATCTGGATCACCTTCGGCATCACTGACAAAGAAATCAGTGGTCTCGGGTGTTATTTCAGCGTCTAACGTTCTGAATGTTGCTGAAGAAGTCTCGTTATTTAAGGCACCTAAGAGGGAACCGTTCTCATTTCTCTTCAAATTACTATCGTCATACACGTCTTCTGTTCCAACTGCAGAAAAACCAACAGCACAACATGCTGAGTTCCACACCTTGTTCTTCCATAGGCCAAGTCTTTCACTCTGATGAGTACCGTAGGAGCGATTCAATCTTTGGATAATTAACGAATATTCAGATTTAACTTGAATAGAAAGAAAACACTAGTGTTACGTAGAGAATATGTAAAATTTACCTTGAGCTAGTGATGACGTGGGAAAGCAAAGGATGAGGGAATGAGGCAGAGTCCATCGACTGGGACTTCAAATTTTATTCTCAGAAACTGAAAAAACACACAAAATTGTGTTCTTATTTCATGTAATGCACAATAACATGGAAGAAAAATAGAAAAAAAAAATGAAAAAAAATGCACCTCTAGTTATGGATGTGCTTCCAAAAGGAAGAGTTATCCAATATTTCTAGTTGTACTTCAGCAAAGACTAAGAGCCACAACCTTTTGTTTTCTAGTTGAACTCAATGGTCTAACTGCTTGTCACCTTAAACAATAATTGCACGCAATTGGTTAAACATATTCACATCATTTTGTGGCTCTGTCATACAAAAATCTTTGGTCCTTCTTATTTTCTAACTTTGTTTCCTTGCTTACTTTTTTTGGTTGTTGCAAATTTAATGAAAACCTGTTTCGGTAACACATTATAATATAACTAAATTAAGACAACTATTTTTTATTATGCATCTGGACATACACTACAGAAACTAGTTATGTGGTGTAAATAGACCAGATTTTCACAACAAAAGATATTTCCTTTGAAGGATGTTCTGGTTAGAAAATTTGATAAGAGGGTGTGAATAGCATGCCTCCAAATGCATTATTTATGTGAGACCAAAATGGATCCAATCCAATTCATGATTTGCGTGGTTGGGCCTTGGGATGGTTATGTTAATAAAGCAAAACAAAAGAGGGAGGGTTGACCAGACCAAAATGGAAGGGCTTTCTTTTCATGGCAAAAAATTGGCATAAGTCAAACAAATGAATAGAACAAATCCAGTACGGTACCTGATTGCTGATGGTGAATGGATGGTGACGTGGCAGACGAGTTATCCTTCTTGCTTTTATTAATCTCGCAGAAAATGATGGCGGAGAAAGCGATGCTTAAGAGGCTCAGTTCATCTCTCTCTAACAGAACACCAAACACAAAACTAAACTATGTCGCTGTTAGTTCATCTGAGTCTCTGAGGTGAAGAGTTCAGTTAAGACTCTTCTCTCTCTCTCTCCCTCCCTAACGCGCGCGCACACACACACATTCACACTTCAGAAATTCGATGTTGGGGATTAGATCCCCTAGGTGAGGGTCCCACAGTGAGTTGTTGATGTATTCGCTTTTGAAGTATGGCAGAATCATCCACCAGTTCTGGTGTTTCAGTTGATCCCAATTCCAGTGACAACAACAGGTTGTGGAAAGGGGCATTTGCTGTCGCTGGAATCATGGTTACCCTCGTCACCTATGGTCTCTTGCAGGTTCCCTTTTTATTTTATTTTATTTCATTCGTTTACTTGCGTATCTCTTCATCTGTGTCATAACAGTACTAGGATCTCTCCCTCTCTCTTTTACAATATTCTTCAATCTCGTTATTATTGTTGTTTATAGAAATGCAGATTCTGGGGGGCAGTGTGGTACTTCGGAACCGAGTGAAATTGGTGTCTTTTAGTGGTTTCCGCTTAAAATAGAGAGGCATCTTCAGTTTCAAAAAAATTCCTTTACTGGGTCTAATCAGACTTAATCATAGCAATTGTCTCGGTCTTTTTCATAAGTCAAATCTTGAGCTTTTAGCTGGGGCTGTAATTAACTTAGAATGTACTCTTGCTTTGGTAATTTGGAATACCATTGTTAGTGTTATTTGAATACGAAACATCAATCGGTAATCTGTTTTTAAGGTTTAGTTTTGTAAAACTTAAAAAGAAGAAAAATAAATAAATAAATACTAGTGGTAGCAACAAACGTAAAGTGATTACTAAATTCTCTTGGTTGGAGTTTTGTCTTGCTTCTTCGTAATTTGGTGCTTATTTAGCTATATAATATACGTACATGGTGTGAGTGGGTTTGTACAGATTGGACCAAACGTTCTCTCATAAACCGACATTTATCCAGTGATTTACAGTAGGTATTTGTTTCTTGCAGGAAAAGATCATGAGAGTATCATATGGGGCAGAAAAAGAGTATTTCAAGTATTCACTGTTTCTTGTTTTCTGCAACCGCATCACAACATCTGCTGTTTCTGCTGGTTCTTTGCTGGTAAGTGTATGCCATATGCAAAAGTTACTGTTACTTGCATGTGTAGATTCCACACATTTTGCAGTTTTTGAATTACAGTTTACCTTTCCTGTGACTAAATTTATTCTTCAATGTTTCTTACAGGCAAGTAAAAAGGCGATGGACCCAGTAGCTCCCATTTTTAAGTATTGCTTTATCTCGGTATCAAACATACTAACTACAACATGCCAATATGAGGCAAGTGTCATACTTTCTGTATGCCTGTAATCTCATGAATACTTGCTAACATTAATGATTGCAAATTAGTAACCATATGGAAATAATCATATTTCTTTTACAGGCCCTCAAATATGTTAGTTTTCCTGTTCAGACCCTTGCAAAATGTGCAAAAATGATACCAGTTATGGTAGGTCAAACTTTGATACTGTACCTAAATATATAAAATTAATTTATGCTGATGACTGCTTGATTATATATATTCATTATATTACATAACTGATATTTGTCTTGTACAATTGATTTGCACCTTATTTTTCACCTTCTCGATTACTTTTATTGATGAAGAATAGTAGTGATTGCTTTGTGTTATTTCTGAAAAAAGGAAAATAAATTCTGTGAGTGCTGGTACTGTTTGTGTCCCCTTACTTCGTTCAGATTGGGAGGGACACATCCACAAAGACAAAATGTGAATTTGATGATTGAAGTTTTTATTATTTGACGTCACAGTTTTGCAATCTTTTCATTATCTAAAAAAAAAGGTTCAAATACCTAGCCCAATTCTCTGTCTCTCTTTCTCCCTCATCATTTTATCTAGCAGTCAGTAGATCAGACTTGGGAAGAAGGAAAATGCTAACGTTTGCATATTCACGACAAATAAACTTTGACAAACAAAAATAATCCATCCACTAGATTCTAAGCCCGGGTTCTAAATATGACACCTGAAATTGATTAATTAAATGATTTTAAATTGAAGCAGTCTAGGTATACACAGAAGAGAGGAATTCCGTGAGGCATGGAGTTGCGGTGCACAGGTTATACCAAAGCCTAAGAGGATACTGCATGAATTTAGAAAGTTCCAGAGGATTTTTTATTGTCAGTCGAGATGCCTTAATTTTTAAATTCTTTACCAGTGGTGTTGTGGATTCCATGAGCCCCATTTCCTCTTTCTTGATTGATACCTTTTGCTATTCTTGCACCTTGAATCTTTCTCTATTCATCCATTTGTGTGTCATACAGGTCTGGGGTACCCTCATCATGCAGAAGAGATATCATGGACCTGACTATTTGTTGGCTTTTTTAATTACCCTTGGCTGCTCAGTATTTATCCTGCATCCGGTAAATATTGGGTCTGTGAAGTACTTCTTTTTTTTCTACTGCTTTATTATCATTTGTCTTTATGCAATCATTTTTAATTAATAACTGGCAATGAATAACCATATGCTACCATATTAGCATTGTTCACTGATTCAACATTGCATGTGGTGGTATTGTTTCGGTACAAGAAGACTTACGTGGAGGACATGATAGGAAATTCTGCGAGTGAAGGAATAACAAGGTTTTTGAATTGTACAGAAACACTCCTAAGAAGCTATATGCACTACTTTGTCCTGAAGAGCTGGAAGTTCTACATTGATACAATTTTTTTCATTATCTACTTAACCAAAGCAAATAAAGAATGGCTCGCCTTCAGATATTACCCTTAGGCTACTGTTGGTATTTGGGGGTAACTAAGGCTAAGATTTAAGGAAGAATTTTTTTCATAAAATCAACTGTTTTGGTCAGAATTAAGAAAATTTTACGGGAGTAGTATTTTCACTAATTTTGAGGGTAAATTGTCTCCAACTAGGACTAGATTAAACTTTTTCTTCCTCTAATTCCAAACTGTCCCTCTCACTCAGAATGGTGACAGTACCAACCGTGGCTGCACAATGGCGCTAGTGCCAGTGAAGACAACATGATGGCCGTAGTAGCACTGAGACCAGGTGACGTAAGAAATGTTGGAGAATCCCAAATAATCAGTCTTAACCAAAGCAATTCTATCTGTATTGAAATCGATCAAAATCAATGTGTTGCAAAATGAAAACTACAAGAAGTTTCCATTGATGATGGATATTTCCCTGAATGTAATGATTTTTATGAGAAAAAATGATCAGAAAAGAATACGGGGACAGCTTCATGATAGAAGATTCTCACCCGAATGGAGGTGAAAGAGAGAAAAGGGAGAGCATGAAGCTGGAAGAGAATCAGAGAAAAAAAATGAAAGAAAATGATGGAGTGTGTATATCATTTTATATAGAAAAAGAAAGATAAGAGTCAATAACAAACTTATAACAGATGAAGAAATTGTTAAACTAATAACAGAAAAATGCAAAGAATTGGGACTGTTAAGTAACGTCAGAACAAGTCGTGACAATTTTACTTGATCAAAAAAATGAAGGCAATGAATGTTTTTTTTCTTTTTGATATTTATGAACTTTTTTACTGCATAACTTTTAGGTGAACACTAAACTTGACCTCATAATGAATTTGTGAACTAGTCATCCCAACCCAACTGATATTCGAGATTGCAAATAGGTTCTCCAATCTCTGTTCGCTACTCATTGTTGGTTCCAGAACTGGATCCAGGTTGACAATCACATGTTCACGCACTTTGATATCTTGATAGCATTGATCCATGGGGAGAGAGTCAGCTGAGATAGAGTACACACTTTTGAACAATTGGGTTATGAACTGCTGTGTTGATATTTTTTAACCTGCAATCCTGACCAGAGTATATGCTTATAATTATTATAGCAACTGATACATGGTTTTTGTTGAGAACTGTTTTTTTCTTTTTTTGCTCATGTTTCATTTGGCAGGAATAATATAAGAAATATGACTTTTCTTAGAATTCTGCAATAGGCTAAACTAATGCTTGTGCGTTTTTATTGTAGGCAGGAACAGACATAAGTCCATACAGTAGAGGAAGGGAAAATACAGTTTGGGGTGTTCTCCTAATGGTTGGCTATCTTGGGTATGTGACAGAACTTAATATATCTTTTTGTGATGTGATTCTTTTTTTTTTTGTGTGTGTGGCTGGAGTCCAAAAATCAAGGCTTCCTCCACTTGTTGTGAAATGGAACGTATATTATTTGTCCAAGTGTTCAGTGTTTAGAATAAATAATAAAATTACCTTCTCACCTGTTATTTTGAATAAATGTCCTGCATACAATTTGATTCTCCCGCTGACAATATGCGTTATGTAGCTAAAATCTTATTTGAAATAGTTGCATTTTTTTTCTTACTTTCAGACTCTTGAATGCATGCTTATACGAAGAATTTATCTTCAAAAGTGCTTCACTCACATAGTAGTCAGCGATTGAAATCAAATTCTAATTTTTTTAATGTATTAGGTTTGATGGCTTTACAAGCACTTTCCAAGATAAGCTGTTTAGAGGCTATGACATGGAGATACATAATCAGATATTTTACACAACATTATGTTCTTGTATTCTTAGCCTGACAGGTTGGTTTGAAATTTCCGATCTTATACTTGGTTAAACATTCTTGTCTGGAATGTAATATGAAGGTTTGTTTGCTGGGGATTTTGAGAACAGCTTTGTGATAGATAAAATTTTCTTCAAGTCTTGGATGGTGTTTGAAACATATGTAACTTGCAAGTGAAGAGTTCAAGGATGACCTTTCTCTACACATATTTGGATAGTTTTTTTTTTTTTTTCTAAAATGTGTGTTCTCTTGGTAGTTTTCTTTTTATGATAATTTTTGGTTCTGTTTTGTGTCTTTCATAGTTAGCATTCCATTCTTTTGATATTTGATATTTTTATTTAGGTCTTATCTTACAAGGGCATTTAATACCTGCAATAGAATTTGTTTATCACCATCATGATTGTTTCTTTGACATAGCATTGCTTTCAACTGTAAGTAAACTTCTTCCCTCTGTTTTATTTTTTATAATGCATTTTCCTTTTTGTTTGTTTTTAAGATATTTGACATAGCATTTCTTTTCGCCTTTGGCTTCAAAAGCAAAACCAAAATATTCCCGATTTTCTTCATCTTCTATTCACTGAAGCAATTTTTAAATTATTGGGTTTCACAGGTTGCAACAATTAGTCAATTTTTTATTTCCTACACAATTCGAACTTTCGGTGCTCTGACATTTGCAACCATAATGACCACAAGACAGGTAAGTAGCATAGAGAAATCTAATTTCCATTTTCCAGACAAAGTATTTTTTTCATCTTTTTTTATTCTAATTATTGCAGTTGGTGAGCATTATGCTGTCATGTGTGTGGTTTGCCCATCCTCTTAGCTGGGAACAGTGGATTGGAGCTGTAAGAGTCACTTTTACCATAACATAATGAATTGAGTCATATTGCACCTGCACTCTTTTTGATCACACTCCTACTTGCACTTATTTTTCACTTATCAGGTCATTGTCTTTGGATCCCTTTATGGAAAAAGCTTCTTGAAGAAAGGACCTAAAAAGACAACTCCCTCAGCAGAACTTGTTCAAAATGGGGATTCAAATAATTTGAAGAACAATCCATGACTGAAATGGAGCTAAATTTTACCGAACTGACACCTGCTAATGTCTGCTGTGGTGCTGTGGCTTCAGCTTTAACTTCAGAGTTGGTCATTCAATATCAAGATCATGGATAGCTTCAGTAGAGTTGGTTTGACTTAAAATCCAGACAGCATTAACTGCAGCTAAATTTGCGGATATTGGTATCACAGTCATTACAATAGAGAACTTCAAAGAATTTTAACCCCGCATTTTTTGGTAGAGGAGATCAATTATGGACTGACCAGAGCCATAAGATGTTCATAGATTGAAATATGTACAATGCATTTGATCAAGCAAAGTTGCTACTTTATTCTACTTTTCAGGAAAGTTTAGAGGGAGAGATTGTTTGTGGTTTCCTTCCAGGACCCATTATTACGGTAATTGGCAAATATGGTCTAGTTTGTAACTACACTGTGCAGAATTATAACAGGCATAGGATATACTAACATGAAGGAACCTTGATTTCCAATTAATGCCTCATGCAGAAAGTGTTTTATATGGCAGAAAAACCACTACACACACTGGACATAAAAATGAAATATAAACAAAAATAATTGTTGTTATCATTTATATTCTCTTACCCCGGATGTTCGTTGCACTATATTGCCCCACTTCATAAACCAGAAGAGAGTTGATTCCTTGCTCGGGGTTTTTTTTTTGTGTGGATTAAGCCATCCTTGTTTAAAATGAAGTAGCATAGTGCTACTTGTCTATGCATTATGTCGTCTGCAAGTATGAAAAACCAAATCCAGTCTCTCTCTCTGGTTGAAACAGATTTTGTTCATTCTTAGGAAGAAAATGTCTGTAAACAAGAGAACCATCTAGCTGAAACGAATTTCTTATAAGCTTTTAACAGGGAGAACAGCCAGCAAACTACTATGTTTTCCAAGCCAATAACTTGAGTAATCTTTTATGATGATTTGGTGAAAAACATGTCTTAACATTGTTGTGAAAGTGGTGCGTGAATGAAAGTTTCCTATATTTGGTAGAGTAAAATTATAATTTTCAAGCATAAAACAATCTTGAGAATTGATTTATAAATAAATTTCAAAAATGCATTTCCATCTTCAGACGTTTCTCTTGTTGGTGAATAAAGGGGGCCTGAGCCCTTTCTACGTTCCTAAGATTCCTGAGAATTGATTTAAACATAATATTTATAAAAATGTTGGATAATAATCTTTTATACCAAGAAAAAAATATAATGATTTTATCTAAATTGTAGACCTTATATTGGACTAATGAGCTAATGAGTTAATTTTAACTTGATTGAAAATAAAATAAAAAATAATTTAAAAAATAAAAATTACAAGAAAAGAAATTCATTCACTTTAAAATAAGAGTTAAAGATTTATTTTTTATTATCATTCATCTCAATTATAAAATAAGTAGGTGGTAGAAACTTATTCATATATTTATTCATTAAAACAAAGTAAATTTTTTATCAAATTAATTTATAATAAATATATATTTTAATAAAATATTTTTATTTTTATTTAAAAATTTATTATTAATTTTTAAAACAGATCTATCTATAAATTTACTAATTAAACTGACTTAAGTTTGTTAGACTATATCTTAAATAGGTCAGATAATAACTTAATTTTTAATTTAGACAAAAAAAAAATTTCCTAATTTGAGAATTTTTAGACTAATCTATATCGACCAATTTCCCAAGTGCAATTTGGTTTTATTATTTTTAAAATGGGTAAATTTTTATAATTTCTAGTTATGAGTAAATCGTGTTTTGAAAGACAATTTTAACTTTTTCAAAACAAAAGTTGTATATACATATACGACTTCTTCCTATGTTGTTTTTTCAAGTCATATTTAAATACATAACTTCAATAAAAAAAATTATTGAAGTTTTCTTTTTTAATGGAAATTTTGGTTTGAAATATTTTTTTTTAATATTAAAGTCTTTGTTGATGTTAAATTTTCTTGTAGTGAAATTATTAATTAATTGATTACTTTAGTTCATATATTTTAAATTATTTTTTTTATTTTTACTTACTAAAAGTTTGATTCTAATATTTATTAAAATAAAAATAATTAATAAATTATTTAGGTATTAATAATATTAAATAATTTTTAAATATATTAAATTGTTGAAAAGAAAATATTAATATTTTAAGTAAAAAAATACACATTAAAAAAGTACAACATATATTAAAAACTTAAACAAGTAAAAAAATATAATAAAATAATTAATGACGTGAATTTGTTCTATTGTAGTATTCTAATATTATGTCTTGGCCTTTATCTTCCGATGGGTACTTGTTCTAGTGATGGTATTTCCCTTTTCTTATTATTATTATTGTCCTCATCTTCATCATTGTATAATGTTTGTTTAGGTACTATGGGACGATAAAAATTTATGAGAGGTGTTTGATTATGTCCTGATGATGGTGTCATTAAAGTGGTGTCAAACATATTTGATGAAGATGAAAATACATCATATGTGTGTAAGGGACTTGTCCAAATTGAAATTGACCTAATACATTTTGGAGTTGACCCATATATCCATAGAGTAGAGGTGGTTGAAAAGCATATCAATCAAAGTGTGGATATGTGGTATGTGATATGAATTGTTGAAAAGTTTGTTGATCGTGTTGTTATGTTTAATATTTTTGTGGTACATCACTGGAAAAAAATGTAAAATTAATATTAATAAAAATATTGTGATATATTTAACATATTATACTTACTTTATTTGTATCTTGTGATTGCTAAGGAGAAATATATCTTATAGTGCGTTGTAAATACCACTGCATATATTGTGTATTTTCACGTAAATAATCATTTTTATAAATTTCGATTCCTTGGATTATGTGATTATTATGCTTATTTTACATTGCAATCCAGTTATGATGATAATTTAATCAATATCTATCAGTTCTTCCTCTCATATCTTCTTTATGCATTTGAGCTAGATTCATTGGATCTTAAGGAATATGTTGGCAAAGGTCAAATTGTTTCATAACTTGATCAACATGATGATATTCAATGGTTGCAAAACAAATAAGTGGTACAGCAACACGACTTATGATCCGGGCTGTTTCCCTCTCGACGATGAAGCTTATCCCCCATCGTCTCACTAGCCGACCTTGACCCTTGTTATTTTGAGGTCATATAAGGGCTCTAACCATATTTCGACTCGTGATCAATCCATAGATACCTATAGAAAATAAATAAGCACTCAAAACAAGTGCATGCTCGAATATCATTGACGAACTCCTTTTTAATATTTATTCATTTCGATATGAACATGAATTCAACAGATTTTATTGACTAACATAATAAGTCTACAACAAAATCAAGTATTCGCAAAAATATTATATATATAAATATTATTTTTCGTTAACATAGAATTCAACAAAAAAATAAATGTGATAAAAGCTAACAAATTGTGAGTGAAAGTTCAATATTTATCAACCGGCTGAGAGTATTTTTAAGATAAAGAGTCTAAAAAAAAGTTAACAATATTTGATGAAGTAATAAAAAAAGTTTAATAAATCGTGCATAATACTTTCATTGGTTGTATAGATTAAATGTGACATGTAATATGTGCAAGTCATGCTGGCACTAGTAAATATTTGGATTGGTCAAGACCATCTATCACGTCTTAACGAACTTATGTTTGATAATAAATAGCGGAACAACAATATTATCAATCTTAATCGAATTTATGTTTGATAATAAATAATGGAACAACAATATTGTCAGTCTTACATTCTAACATGTACACTCAAATACAAATAATAAATAGCGGAACAACAATATTATCAGTCTTACCTTCTAAGATATACACTCAAATACAAATGGTCTTCAATTAGTATATTGCATTTGACATCTTATCTCTAACTTCAACAAGAAATTCAAGAACGTGGAACTAAAACAAGAAGTTATTAAACACATGTTATTGTTATTGTTAGAGAGTTTCAATTTCTCTAACTTCCTTCCTCAAGTGTCTTTGTTGTATGTTTATACTGTTATTGACACGGTTTACAAGCTAGTAACTATTTACATTGCTTATAAAGGCTATAAGAAGGGCTAGGGAGCTTCCATGCATGCCCTGTTTTTCTTCCTCTCATTCTCAACACTTTCAATTTCGCAACGATAAACGTAATAATCTGAAGCCCGAAAACCCTATCATTGTGAATAACAACTTTGAAGAAGCCATTGATGTTTTATGCCAGCAAAAGCGCGTCGATGAAGCTGTGCAGTTGCTCCATTGCATTGATCATCGACCCTCTGCGCGCGTGTATTCCACTCTCAACGCCGCTTGTGTTTGCCACCGCGCTCTCGAATTGGGTTGGACGGTACATGCCCATTCCAAAGCGTCTAACTGTTCTGGGGAATAAAATGAAGATATATTAATAAACTTATATGCGTAAATACGAATTTTGTTATAATTTATATCTCCCAAATCCTCCAAGATTGGTCTTTTAAGGGAGTAGAAAACAAATTTGGGCCTCATTAGATCAATGGTGTTAACCACCAATCGATCCATTTGATTGGTTATCTTTCAAATCGGTGGAGGAAACTATTTATAAAAATTGCATTCATTGCCGCTTACTTTTATCTTCGTTTGATCCTGTATGTTATATCATATTTTGTGTTTGTGTGTGCATAGCAGGTGTTCGAAGAAATTCCCATACCATAAATGAAACTCATGGGCAAGAAAGGAGGCGAAAAAGATTGGAGTCTGTGTCTCGAGCTCCAATATCATTGAGGGAAGAAGTCACGAGAAAAACACAAACCAAGCCAACCACTAACACCAAGGTCAAATTGAGATTTGATCACTTGAAAAACCTTGCAGTGTGGGCCACCACCAACGACCATCTCAGATTGTCTTTGGCTGCCTTTTATGGACACCAATTCGCGTCCTTTGGAGAGGCCAATGGGGTACCACCTGGTTCTTCTCTAATGACTTGCCAAAGGTTTGGTTTGCTCTATCCCTGTTTCAGTTTTGCTTACCTTTTTTATCCTTGTCCTTCAATGCCTTTTATTTAGTTTGCATTCAAAAGTTTTCTCTTTAATAAATCAATTTGATGGGTTAAATGATTAGTGGAAAACTAACATTTATTAAATGACTCTTGCTTCTACTTCATTTTGAATGGTCATGCTGAGCAATGTGATCTATTTATTATTAGAATTACTATCTGAACACATTGCGCTATGTTAGCTAAACTGTAATTAATTATGATTTTCATTCTAACGATCAAATATAAACATAATTCTATACTGATAAACATGTTGTGTAAACTGTAATTAATCATGATTTTTATTCTAACGATCAAATATAAACGTAATTCTATATTGATAAACATGTTGTAAATTGAATGTGAAAGCGTACCTGAATTAGCCATAATGATGATATCATTTGTAGAACACTATTGATCTTATGGTCTTCCACCTGAAGAGCACATATATTTCCCTCTTGATTTTCTCTCTTGATAGGGATAGAAAGAAAGGAACGGGACTAATACTTACGTTTTGTGTGTGCTCCCAGAAAGGGACCATAACCCTTTAAATAACCAGAATTAGGTTAATTACTTAAATTTTAGTATTTTCAATTTGACCTCTCATCAGATTAGAAATTACTCTATGATCTCTACATAAATTTATTTTCATGACATATATCTTTAACAAAAACTTTAATTTAGTCATATCACTTTATTATTTGACTTAATAAATAATGACCTTAATACATTTAAATTATGTATTATATATACACATGACCCAAAATTTACCAATCCTCTATTTATTTCATCTTTGCTATAGATGGATATTTTATTAGCCACTATTATATTTTCTTGACCAATTTCATTGGAAAATGTAACTATGTTCTATATTATTTGCTATATGCTACTCTCATTTTCACTATCCAATTTGTAAAAACATTGTCCATTTTTTTCTTATGCTTTTTCTCCATGCTATTTTCAATACGGTTTGCTAGCTTGTAATGAGCAATGAGCATAGCAGTCAAATTGCTAACTTGACAATCTATTTCATTTTAAAATAGGGAGATTTTTTGAGAAAGATGAGAAAAAATATTCTTATCATAATATTATTTTATTCGATTTTTCTTATTTATTTATTATTATTTGATGTATTTTTATATTTTAAAAAGTGATCTCATCTCCACTTCTTCCTTTTTTTTTCCCGTTTGACCAGGTATGAAAAGTTCAATGGAAATAACATGTCCAAGATTTAATCAACTTTCCGTACCAATATGCTGAACCAAACAAAGGGGCACCTATACTTTCTTTGCAAATCAATGCCACTCTCCTCTCCCTCCCCTAAAAATAGGTATAATATGCAGTTGAAAAATATAAACATAACTATATTTATTTGTTCCATATTTTTTCTATAAGAAAAAATTTAAAATTAATTTAATTTTTTCATACACTTATTTGTAAACACTGTATCATATAAATTCCTTGAAATTTTATTTTTTTTCTTGGTGTATAAACTAATTTTCAATTATAAAAAAAATGTTTTTTTTTCTTCTTAGTTGTCTCTCATAAAAATAATTTATGCAACAAAACTTCCAAAGATACTAATATATATACATAGAGAGAAATACGAATATCATTATAGAATTATAGTTAAAATAGGTATCATACTTAGTTTTTCTAATTATATTAAACCATATCTATTTTCTTAAAATATGTATTGAAATTAATATTATACTTTAATATTTATCTGATATTTAATGTTATATATAAATAAAAAAATAGTTATACCCTAATAAGTCAGTAATCCTAACTAAATTAGGTATAATCTCTTTAAAAAAATAAGATTTGAATTTGTAAATGAAAAAATTCAATTAAAAAAATGAATCAAATTATTTTAAAGACAAAATCATTAACACTTTAAAGAAACGAACAAGACGAATACATAAAACACAAAACCTCTAATTTTGAAATAATTTATAAAAAAAAAACGTTGGAAGGAGAGAAAAGGTTGTGTTGGAAGCAACTGCAATTACAATTCCTTTGGAAATAAAATATAAGTAAGAACAAAGCAAGGAGAAAAAATGAAGAAACGGGGGTGTAACGGCTAGTATTAAAATATAAAAATATTGAAGAAACGGGTGTCTAACGGCTAGTGATAAAATAGAATTAGTTGAATGAGTTAGTTTAAAAAAATTTAAAAATAAATTAGATTAGAACAAAATTTATGATATAAATAGAAACAGATAAATTTTAATTAGATTATAATCTATTTAGATTAATTTAGTTCATACATTTATGACCTGTTTTATAAAATAATTATTATTTTAAAAATAAAATATAAACAATACTATTTAATTAAAAATATAAATATAATAAATTATTTTAATAATATATTTATATTATATTATATATATATATATATATATATATATAATTTAGATTTTATTTGTTTTGATCATTCTACTATGACATTCTTGTTTCTCTTTTCATGCACACATTTTTCTTAGAAATTTTTTATAACTATTTTCATTTTTATTATTTTATCTTTTCATTAAATTTAAACTTTTTTTTATTTATTCCCACATAACTTGCTATTTTACTTATGGAAACTCCATTTCTCCCATTATTAACCCATTTATTAACTGTAATAATAGTTTTGACGTATTTAGTAATAATAAGATGTCTAAGAAAGAAAATCATTATTTACAAAATGTGAGGATGTGAAAAAAATTATATACAAGTAAAGGTAAAGGAATTCTAGATACTAATTATTTAAAATAACTAAATATAGTGTATTTTTAAAATATCGTATACCTCTTACATATAATAAAGTTAGTTGAAACAATAAAAAATTGTCTTTATATTGAATATAAGGTCTTATATGATATTAAAGGATGGGTGAATATATAGACAATTATAATTTCTCAAACTTATGTTGATCAAAATACTCATTTTTTTATTTGAAACTAAAACATAAGTTACTCTCATTTTGTGATTTTAAGCATTTCAATTACTACATATATTTTAATCTTCATTTAGTATTAATGGTCGCATCTTACACTAATATAAAAATGATTTACTTTTTTGTTATCAATTATAAATTAAAAAAAATAATATTTTATGATTTTATTTTGTTTAGATAGGTTGAGAATTAATTTTGAATAAATGACATATTTGTTTTCAAATAAAATTTAAAAAAGTGATATAATTTTTTTTTTAATTTAGAAAAAATGACCAATTAGCCCATCTACCTATTATAGGACTAAGCCAAAAATATTGACCCGATTTAAAATATAATTTAGAATGGACTTTTAGATTTTAATTTTTTTTTTTACTAGACCCATACAGTCAAATCAATTTAGGCTGAACCACCCATTTTTTGACAATCCTAACAATAAGTTAGAATATTACATGAGATATGTATCACATCATTCATCATTAAAAGATCTAATTGTATTTAAAATTGTCGTATCATTAAGAAATCTAACTCATGTTATTTATCTTGATAAATCGAATAAAATTTAAATTATTGTGAACTTTTTCACATATATTTAATTTTAATGTATAAAAAATATATACAATCTCATAAAAAAACAAAACATTTGAGTGAGTTGCTTTCATTCTAAAATACTAGTTTGTGTTTAGGCATTACATAATAATATATATTATTATAATAATATTCTTTTTGCTTCTAATTAAGAATGGTAAAACTGATCCACCTATCTCATTTTAGGTCGCTCCGTCTTTAATTCAAAAGTAATAAGACGAGATAGACTCACGTGTCATAATCAGAATGAATTACAAACCTCATTCTATCCCATTAAAGAAGACTGATTAGTTAGCAATTCAACTCATCAATATTTTTTAGATAAAATCTGTTTATATGTATTTTTTTAAAATATATCTTTAATTATATTAATATTTTTAAAATTTTTATTATTAATTAATATATTTATTAAATTAATTTAAATTATTATTATATTTGTATATTAAAATAACCATGGTCTCCATAAAAAGACCGTTAACATGAATTGATAAACTAAAACTACCATATATCAGGTAACATACTAAAACTACTCAATTTCATTGTACATTTTTTAGTTGGATTAGAAAGTCTAACTATTTTCTAACATCTTTACTTCATTTTTCATATGAATTATAATTTTTTGAATTAAGTTTTCTTACCCTAATTTTATTGCAAAAAAAAACATTTTCTCTTAATAAACAAAACAAACCACCACTAGATTTCGAGGGACCTAGTATCATATATTTGTGGATTTTTTCAAAAACAGAATAATAAAGTTTGATTTTATGTAATGTTGTGTATTTCTTATCATAAAATATATTTCCAACATATGCGTTATATTGTATCTTTTTTTAATTATATAATGTTATATGTTTTTTACTCTAGGCTTTTATCTATATTTCTTATTATTTTGAGCTTGTTAAGGTAAAAATAATTAAAATAAATTGTTGGAATTTGAATATTTAATATTTTTATACGTATTAATAAAACACAATTGAATGGACATTTGAATTCAAAACACAATTAAACGAAAAAAAATCAATATTATAAATTATTAGAACATCTCTAATACAAATGTAGATAAACGTTTAAATTCAAGACAAGAAGCTTATTAAAAAAATCTTAATAAAACACGCTGATGTAACATAATAGGAATTTTAAAATAAAAAATTAGGTTTAAATCTTAAGAATAAAAAAAATATTTTTTTATATTAACAATTATATCTTTGAAAAACCCAATTACATAGAAAAGGTAAATATAAAAAACATTCAAAGTAACGTTACCATTATAATAAGATTTGTAAAAATAACTTGAAATTATGTGATGTGATCAGACTATTTAAATAAAAATAAAATAAAAATAAAAATATTCTTATATTAATATTTGTTTATAATATAAAAAACATTCAAAGTAACGTTACCATTATAATAAGATTTGTAAAAATAACTTGAAATTATGTGATGTGATCAGACTATTTAAATAAAAATAAAATAAAAATAAAAATATTCTTATATTAATATTTGTTTAATCTTGTGATAAACTTTGACCTGTCCTCTAATTTGATTTTTTTTTTAAATATAAGAATGTTAATTTAATTAATATATTATTATAAGTCTAATGAATATTTTGAAATAGATAATATTTTATAATAATAATAATTATTAATGATATTATTATATAAAATATAAATTGTAGAAAAATTAATATCTTTAATTTTTATAATATTTTTCTTATATATTTATTTGTTTTAATATATTGGTAAGTTTTACCGCACTTAAAAATTGAAGTCATACATAGTTTTTTTTTTATTTTAATTCATCATATATCTTTTAAAAATAAAATGGTGAAATAAAATTTTAAAATACAAATATGTGAATAATTAGAATTTTAAAATTATCAATATTTCGAATGTGTTAAAAATCAACCCTCATACTAATTATGATGGTACAACGGATAGGTTTTAGTCAAAAACGGAAGAGTTAGTTGATCACAAATGCGTGTGGATGCGACTAAAGACAGCTGTTCTCTGTTTGGAAGGTTACAAGTTGCTCGTGGTGACAACTGATATGCGTTGCAACAAACACTGTTAAAGACCATGATGGAGTTGGATCCCCAATGATCTCACCAAACAAACCTCACACCTTTTCAATGAATATGCCATGGCTTACGCGATTTCAGAATCTCTCTCTCTTCCACTACCTTCTTACGTTACTTATCCATCTGCACCAAAATTGGCATATCCCACGAAACAATTTGTTCAACCCTCTTCTCAAATTTCATGTGGATGGGAGTTACTGGTTAGTGTTATTGGATAATGCAGATTCCAATGAAGATATGCATAATTTGGACCATAACCCCCATTAAACGTTCACAAACATCAATTTCTGAATGGGTGTGATTCGTTATCACTTACCAAACATTATCCGTTTCATAATTTTAACTTATCACGGTTTTATTAAGCCATCTAAGATCTCTGAGAACCATAAAAATTGGTCAAATTATGAGAGCAGTTTTGTTATTTAAAAAGTTTGAAAACAAACTTTTTGTCTTGTATTGGCTTTATCGAACAAAAAACCAGGTCTCACTTTTGAATACTTTGGTGAAGTTTCTGAACACATAAAAGTAGTCCAAGATATCTTTTCATCATGGCATATTCTCTCAGTTTCTTTTGAAGATGATATAAACAAATTAAATCAACTTTATTCATATTTCTTCAAGTTACAATTTAATTGAAAAGTCATTTCTTTAATACATATACAGTGCACAACTTTACTTATTTGTTAGAACTGCTTCAATTGTATTGGAGGTTCATTAAATAACTTTTTCTATGAAAACATGATTAAAAACATATATAATTAATAGAAAGTTTTAACTAAAAGCAGCATTTATATTCATAAGTTTGTACCAACAAATAAAATCCAAAAGGAATTTAATTAGGGTATCATTGACATTAAATTTGATTAAAAAAAATAGGGACATTAAAAACCAAATTTATGAAAATCTAAATTTTTCCACTATGTCACTCCGGTGAAGGAGGCAATAGAAAATCTTGGTGTTTTGTTTTGTTGGCATTGAATTTGAAAGCGCAATCCAAACGCGAGTGACGTCAGCGAACACCGGTTATTTCGGGAGAGAAGAGAAGGAGGGAAAGAAGCGAGACAAAATCAGAAACAGAACAAAAGAGGGAAAGTAAATAATAAAAAATGATTTTAATAACGCGGTTTTAGCTAAGTGTTAGCTTCTTCTCTTCTCACTTCACTCACTGCACGTTTTTTCTCACTCTTTCTCTCTCTTTCATGCCGGAGTTTCCTCTCTCTCGTCCTCCGGAGAACACTACAAAAACCCTAAACCTTCGCTTCGGCACTGTACTCTTCAGATCTACACTTCTACATTCGAGTTTGCCTATTATGAGCTGCTAGCGATGGCCGATTCCGATCCCAAAGCGCCACACCGTCCGGGACCCTGGCCGCCGGCGCCGTTGCCGGACGCCAAGGCAATGCCACCTTCTTCCTGGGCCAAGAAAACGGGCTTCAGGCCCAAGTTCTCAGGCGAGGCCAATGCCAGCGACTCGGGCCAGATAACCCTCCAGCCCAAGCCCAAGCCCAAGGAGCCCGACACTAACGTGGATCTCGAAGCAGGCCGGGCTAGGGCCCCAACGCCGGCCAACGGCGTCGCCCACAGCGACAAGGTCCCGCCGCTTCCTCCTCCCAAAGATCAGGTTGTGAAGAAGCGCAGAGACTCCGATGGAGTCCCCAAGAGTTCCGTTCCCAGCACCAATGGCCAGGCCCCTCCGCCGCCTCCGCCGGCGAGGCGAGCGGCGAGTCACGAGGACATTGTGGACGACGAAGGTTTCGTGTCGAGGCATTCGCATATGAAGTATGAGCTCAGAGATTCACCTGGTTTAGGTGAGAATGAACAAGAAAAAAATATTATACATGCTTGTGCTGTTAGATATACTTTCTTTGAAATACTCTAAAGTGTAATTTCTGTGCTAATGTGTTTTTTTTTTATGGATGCTTTTGTTTAGTTCCCATTGGAGTGTACGGCATTCAGCATTACGTTTCGATATTGGGTTCATTGATTCTCATCCCGCTCGTCATGGTTCCGGCAATGGGAGGCTCTCGTGTAAGTGATTTCAAGTTTTTGACTAAGGTTCTGTTTGGGGGAATCATAAACTTCTTCATGAGTATTTATGAGAGAAGAAAACAAGAATGTAAAATGAATTAAATTTTTCCATGATTCAAATTAGCTTATATATCTTGGCTTTTGGATAAGTAGATGTTAGAACTTCTTTGCAAGCAAAGCTTACAAGTTTATTTTATATTATGGGAAAACTCAATTTACTTTATTGTTTTCTTTTTCCATAAGTTTATCCAAACAGGACTAATTAAATGAATTACTTTTTTATACGTATTTATTTTGGTGAATTTATTTATTATGGGCTAGTGTTTTCTGATTTGTCTGTGGGTGTAGGAGGATACTTCAGCTGTGGTGTCGACTGTGCTCTTTGTGTCAGGAGTGACTACACTGTTACATACAAATTTTGGGTCGAGGTTGCCCTTGATACAGGGGCCTTCTTTTGTTTATCTGGCTCCGGCATTAGCGATTATCTACTCCTCGGAGTTTCAAGGGTTAAATGAAAATGTATGTTTTTTCTTCTCTTTTCTTTGTTTTCGGATTATGTTTCTATTGTGAGTTGTTTGTGAGATGTCATGGGCTTTTGTATTGGTATATATTGTGAGGCTTTTTGGTGGAGTAACTGAAACTAAAACTGCTGAGGAATGATTTTCTGTCAATTTTCAGAAATTCAGACATATAATGAAGGAGCTGCAGGGGGCTATAATTATTGGATCGGCTTTTCAAACATTCCTTGGATATACTGGACTTATGTCACTGTTAGTAAGGTATAATTGTGGAATTTTTTCTGTTTTATGTCTGGTTTTTAGTACGTAATTTATTGTTTTATCACTCAGCATTTATTCTTGTGGATTGAGGCTATTTAAATGTTAGTGCTAACTGCTGAAGTTTGAGAAATACTGGTAGAATATTCGTGGGAGACAATTCTGGAAAGAATAATGATAATAGAAACAATAGGGAAATTTAGTTTAGCATAAATGCTAGTCTTTAAATTCTAAAATATTGTATATGTTGGCGCCTTTACTTAACTATTTAAAAGGATTATTATATGTTTCTCTTTCACTATTTATTGAAATTGATCTATAGTAATTAATACCCACAATAATTGGTCTGTTTAATGTATAGATAACTTTACTATGAAAATGTGCTGTTTTAAATGATTAAACATAGTTTGTTCAAGTATAATTTTTTAACACCATTTCTCTTGGTTGCATCCTTCCTGTTATCTGTATAATTCCTCGAATAACTTTAGCGAGTGCATAGCCAGTTCTGAGGCTTCCATTCATTTTATTATTTGAAGTGGCAGCAATTTCTTTTCCTTTTCTTAAATTATGTGATTATTCATTAATTAATTGATTGGGCAAAATTAATTACATATGAATAACCCTCTATTTGTGGGAGGTTGGAGTTCATAACACACTTACTCCTAAAAGTTTCTTTCTAACCCAGTTAGCAATCCTCCAGTCCCCGCAGTCAATTCAGCCTGGATTTGAAGGAATCTCATTGCCAATAAGTTATTTGTAATGAAATAAGCTGTATTTGCCTCCTATTTTAGCAAGTTCCAACTATTGCTTTAGCCTGCTGTAATGAGTGTGTCTAATGGTAACATGCGAGACAAAGAGATGAGAGATCGTAGTTTGTGAATTCACTGGGTATTTTTTCTTATGGACTGGGTATGATGGATGATATTGACCTGTCAATACCACAGACTTATTATTCCCTTTACCTTTCCTCATGATTAAATGATTATAGTGTTTGAGTTGTCTGAAACAGAAGTATCAAGGGTCATATCTGAATTTTCAGGTTAATCAATCCTGTGGTTGTATCCCCAACTATTGCTGCAGTTGGACTTTCATTTTACAGTTATGGTTTTCCGCTAGTTGGTACATGTCTGGAGATTGGTGCAATGCAGATATTAGTTGTTATTGTTTTTTCTCTGGTAAGTATGTGGAATTCAAGTTCCTACTCTTTATGAATTGATCACTGCAGTGTGCTAACATTCTTAATCTTTTTTGTTTTGCTTTCTGCAGTACCTTCGTAAAATATCTGTTTTTGGACACCGCATATTTCTAATATATGCAGTAAGTTTAACGTTACAATATCCTTCTGAGTTACTATTCTGTAATGAACATTATTTTTTTCTATTAAGTGTGATGTTTTTTTGCTTCACCTAACTGTCAGGTTCCTTTGGGTCTGGCAATTACATGGGCAGTTGCTTTCTTGCTGACTGAAGCTGGAGTTTACAACTACAATGGGTGTGACATAAATATACCCGCCTCAAATATAGTTTCTGAGCACTGCAGAAAGCATGTCTCAAAGATGAAGCATTGTCGAGTTGATACTTCTTATGCGCTGACGTCATCCCCATGGTTTAGATTTCCTTATCCGTTACAATGGGGTACTCCTGTCTTCCATTGGAAAATGGCTCTGGTGATGTGCGTGGTTTCCTTGATCTCATCTGTGGATTCAGTAAGCTTCTTTTATTTATTATTTTCCTTTTTTCTGGATTGTATTTGTTATTTTATTTATCGAGACGCGGAATATGTTGATACTCTTGCCTTCTTTTTAATGTGCTAGCAATATTATGTGTAAGAAGTTGTAATTTTTACCAAACAAAGCTATATCTGTTTAATATACGATGGCTCGACTAGTATGCTGAAGTAAGAAAATTGAATATGATATTCACTTCATTAGTATTGTCATTTGATTTTGATTGCAACCCTTGACATAGAAAGTTATTTAAGAGACTGGAGGTAGTCATATAGTTTATATGGTCAAGTTAAAAAATGGTTGCCATCTGTTGTTTTCACCTGATGACAATGCAATTTTTCCCTATTTTCTGTTTACATTGTAAGTAGATTCCATCTGTATGAGTAGCGCAGCAGTATGGGTTCTACTCAGTTTGGGAAATCAAATATATGATTTCTCCAATCTCTAAATAAAATGTCTACACTGCAAATGCCATTATGTGATTTGATTTATTTTGAAGATTTTGTCAAGATAAGTACAAAATAAAATTTCTCTGAGAGACTAGCGATATAGTAGATCTAAATTAGAGTCATGATTCTTTTTTTCTATATGCAGGATTATATAATCACCTCATGTGTTATGGATATTCAACTTGTTTTAAATTTTGTAGGTTGGTTCATATCATGCATCTTCGTTATTGGTAGCATCTCGACCTCCTACTCCTGGTGTTCTTAGTCGAGGAATTGGTTTGGAAGGTCTTTCTAGTGTCTTGGCTGGTTTGTGGGGAACTGGAGCAGGGTCTACCACCTTAACTGAAAATGTTCATACCATTGCTGTCACTAAAATGGGAAGCCGCAGAGCAGTTCAATTGGGTGCATGCATCCTGATAGTTTTGTCTCTCGTGGGTAAGTGTTTAGTGTCTTTCTTTTTTTGCATCTAAATTTATCAGTCTTCTTGTGATGAATAGCCACAGAACCAAAGTAGATTTACCACGGAAAGTTTTAGATGAAAAACATTTGTAATATATCTTGGTTTTTCCCTTTTTAGAACTTTACAACAATTAACACGTATGATACTTGTAATATCATCTCCAGCACCGGGCATTTGTGAAGAATAAATGTTTTCATAAATTTCGTAGGTGGCATCCTAGTGAATCCTTGGTTTTAATTATTGTCCATAGTGATTTAATTATGAGGTTTTAGGAAGATATCTGGGTGGGAAATGTTCATCATTTAGAGCTTTTCTTATGTCTATTGCAATATGTAATCAACTGTAGAATTTTCATTGCAAATATAACTTGTTTAATTTTACTTGTATTTAACAGGTAAGGTGGGGGGCTTTATTGCCTCAATTCCGGAGGTCATGGTTGCTGGTCTCCTATGCTTTATGTGGGCAATGCTTACAGCATTGGGCTTGTCAAATCTACGCTATAGTGAGGCTGGAAGCTCTCGCAACATCATCATAATTGGGTTATCATTGTTTTTCTCTCTTTCCATACCTGCCTACTTTCAACAATACGGTATCTCCCCAAATTCCAACTTGTCAGTGCCCAGTTACTTCCAACCCTATATTGTGGCTTCTCATGGGCCTTTCCGCACCGAATATGGAGGGGTATGCGCTTGTATCATATTCTTTGAATACTCTGAATATACTTGATTTTCATGCCGTTATTTTCTGTGATCAAAATTTATTAGTTACTATAGGACTTAACTGAAATATTGAAACAAAAAAAATGAAAAAACTACTTTCGTCTTTCAGGGTAAATGAATTGAAACTACCTTCACATTCAATGGTGACATATAAGTAGTTTGCATACAAACGCAATTTTAAAGATCTGTTTGTCTTACTAGCCAGTTTTAATTGACATTTCTGCTCTTGTTTGCAGCATCGTTTTTTGTCAGAATCCTGCATGTTATTTTATGGTTGCTAACTTGTAATTGTAGCAGTGATTGTCATCAACTGCTTTATACTATAAGGCATAAATTAATGATGCGGTGAACTAACTGACAATAAATACACGGGTATTGAAAAGTCATCATAATGTGGTTTCTGTCTGGCTACCTTTTTAAACTTTAGCACTTGAATGCTGGTTAAAAATTACTGCACTACCACTTTTAGGAAAAATTTAAATGCTGTTGGTTTAAATGTCAGGTTTTTCTAAACAACACTAATGAATCTGTTTCCTTTTGCAGTTAAACTATGTCCTGAACACAATCTTTTCACTACACATGGTGGTAGCTTTTCTTGTTGCTTTCATCTTGGATAATACTGTGCCTGGCAGTAAGCATGAGCGTGGAGTATACGTGTGGTCCGAAACTGAGGTTGCTAGAAGGGAGCCTGCCGTTGCTAAGGACTATGAGTTGCCCTTGAGAGTTGGTCGGATTTTCAGATGGGTGAAGTGGGTTGGCCTGTGAATGGCAAGTGTTTTCTTGGTTGAACATTTTCAGTTTATTGGACGTTATCTACCAACCAAGAAACTGCTCCAAGTCTGGATTCACATCTTCTTAGGTTCATTCATGGGTAGTAGTATAGTTGGTCATGTTACAGAGTTAAATTGTGTAAATTGAAGTTCCGGAGGGGTTCTATTTGTGTTATAATTTTATCTGGGTATATTTATTTTAAAATTTATTAGAGTAGCATGTATCTAGTTTTGATTCATTCAAAATCTCCACATGGAGTTTCTTCTTCCTTGCTTTAAGGCGGCTTTTGACAAATCATCCTGGTTATGTATATATTATATATCAAAACATTATACCTTCTCAAACGGCACTTTAAAGCTTTTGTTTAATATATTTATTCCGACCCACCTACTATCTTTGGCACGTAGCTGTTATACATTAGTTGCATACTTGGAATCTCTTTGTTTTAATCCCAAAAAAAAAACTGTTGAAGAAAATTCAAACATCAATCTAGCAATGGGCAGGTAGTCTGGTGTGGTCTTAGCAATCCTTGTCAAACAATTACTTTATCATAGACAACCCGCTTCTGCAACAGCTTCCCGAAATAATTTATTACAATTTATTAATGTGTAGGGTTGCCCACGGCTCAACTCATGTGGAAGAGTAAGCTCCAAGTGATATATTCAAAACCAATTGTACGAGTTTCCAAGGTATGACATGAAAACCCTTCATTCTGAAAGAGACATCAACATCGAAGAACCAATTTAGGTACTTAAAGGGCTTTGATACCATTTCCTTTGTATCCCTGAGGAGGACATGTTTTCGCACCAGAAGCCTGAAAATGACTTTACTCTGCCAAGGTAAAAAAAAAATGGAAAATGGTCACTGTTTCTCACTTGATTCAGTGGTTGGTTCTAATTCAGTTAGCTTTTCGTGCATATATCTAACATTCATAATGGTCCATTGATTCCTACAAAATATGCGCAATAGATTTAGATACCAGACACAGTTAGAATGTAGAAATTACAGTAAAACGAATTTAAATGGTTGCATGAGGTACACCGAGTTTTGATAAACAGTTTATGTACCTCATGTTTAGGTCATGTTATGCTTCTCCTTGTTGAACTACCCTAGAGAAGCCTTTTAGAATCGTGGGTAGGAATAACAAAAAAAGTGTAGAAATGTATACTAGAAAATGAGTACCAGCATGTTTCACATTTCGAAATTATTGAAACACCCTTAATTATACATAAAGTAATTTGTTTTTAATTATTTATAGTATAAATATATTTTTATAAGTGGTGGAGGGTGATCATTCTTAAACTCGTCTTTGCCCCATCATAATTTTTATAAATATATTTTTTTCTCTATAAAAATTGACAAGTGACCAAAATTCTCTACATTCTCTTAAATCAATATTTGAGGGTAAGAGTAATTATTGTTACTTATGGTTAACTTGTCATTGATTGTATGTTGATGGATCTTTTCCTTAATCTTAAGAATATGGAAGGGAAAGTTAAGCACAAAAATAACCTACAAAACTCTAATTTAGATATAAATGGTACTTTCATTTAACTTTTATTAGAATTCAATTTTAATACCAAATAAAATTAGCAGAAGTAATTAACCCATATAAATCATACTTGAAAAAATTAAAATATATGATATAAAACCCTCCCTAACCCTAAATCTTTCACCTGTAAGGGATGTCTTCTTTCACCCTATAAAAAAAATTGCATTCCGAAATACCTTTTCTATGACAAAAGAATTAGTTTCTTGATTTTTAAAGGATGTGAGAAGAAATACCCACCTATAACTCTGGTGTTGGAAGGGTTGTGGGCCCTTAAATATGTGGGCCGTGTACCCAAAAACAGAGGCCAGCCCACTTGTAAAGCACTAATAAATAAATGTTTTGGAATCATCCTCCAAGTTGTAGCTAAAAAATAAAGGAATCAAATTCCTAAATTGACCACAATAGAACTATTTAAGATCTACAAGTGATTTTTTTATTTTCAAAGAAATCTTAAAATTCATTTTTGACTGATATAGATAATAATATTGGTAAATAAACAGAAAATAAACAAGTTTGGCCGTCACTGGTGGTCAACTAATTGCAATTGCGTGCACGTGCTACAGCAGTCACGCACGTGTTCAACCTATGACTTTAAATCTATTATTTTAAAATATATTTTCACCGATGTTTACATGCACATGCAAATTTCAAGATATAAATATACACCTTAAATATATTTTAAAAATATATATTTCATGATTGAGATAAGTTGAAGTGTTTTTTAATACTTGAACATGTATATTTTTTGTATGTATTCCCTCTCATAAGCAACTTTTCAATTAACAAATAAAAGGTCACATTTTTTTTTAATTTAAAAATAGTCAAAACAAACCAAAGAAACGGCTAATACCTACGAGCTCGTAATTTTGTTTGGTAGTATAATAAGAATTTAAACACGAAATAGCACAATATACACGTGCTGGGGACCTAACCAAACTTTGTCAAATGTCAATAAACAAGTTAGGATCCCATCTACGCGTCTACTTGTATTTTCACGTAGAATTGTCAAAAACGGATTATTTATGAAAAAATATATATAATTTAATTTATATTTTAAAAGTATCATAATTTTTAATTTTTATTTTAATTTGACATCAAATTAGATTAATATATTAACAGTCTAATTGAGAAAAATGTTAATGTATATATACTAAAATAATTAATTAAAAATATTTAAATAAAAAATATTTTTAAATTATATTAATAAAATTAACTTTTATTTTAATATATAAATTATAAGGTAATGAATTCATTTAATCTTAAAATAAAATTAATTTTTTATAATTCATTTTTAATAATTAGATCTTAGAATAAATTTTTGTTAAAAATTTATTTATTTAAAAAAAATTATTTTTTATCAAATTAATTTTAAAAATATATATTAATAATTTATAATTTATTTGTTTTGTAAATTTAAAGTCAAAATAAATCTGATTATTTTTAGATAATAATTTTTTTAGTTTAGTTTGTTTGGTAAAGTCTGTTTTGATATCTTGTTTGCAGTCAAATTTTTTTTATATTTCTTAAATAAAAATGTCTATTTTAATACAAATTATAGCTTAGAAATGTATATATATTTTTTAAATGGTTTAGATTTTTTTATATATAATTTAAAATCAACGAAGCAAACCCTTACCTTTTACCTTTAACGTTTTGCATGTATTTTAGGGAAATATAGCGTATGTTAAAATTAAATATAATCAATGAAGTATCAATTAGTTTAAGAAACTTATAAACATTTGTACACATTATTATTTAATAAAAACTTTATCATAAAAATATTTATGGTCAAAAGAGTAATGCAATCAAGAGTTTATTTTTTCTTTTATCTGATTTTGTATTATATAGACACTTATGAAATATTAAATTACATTACTATTAGTTATATTACATTATATATATTAGTCCAAAAAAGTACTTACAAAATCTGTTAAATCATAGTGAAAGTATTTATTATATGAGTTGAATTTTAAACGGAATAGAAAAACAAGTAAACTCTCTTTCTATGCCACGTATATTCTAAACTCTAGATCGAACAATTGTTTATCTCTTCCTTCCAAACTCTCCCTTTCACTCAATGTGCTTTAATTACTCTATTACTTCTTAATTTCGATTCTTAGTGGTTATTATTGTTATTATTATTATTATTATATATAACATTTATTTTTCATAATAACATATAAGTCACTTAAGATATTATCTATCTATTTATCTGTGCCATGTGTTTTGTAGATTCTGTTATGTTAAGTTGACAACACAATAACTTAATTTTACTTTCTAGTGAACAAAAAAAATATATATTTACTTTTATTCTTTCCCACACGAAAAAAAAACTCAAGCTTAAACTTACAAGTGTAAGGTGTTTGACGTAAGAAAACTAGTTTTAGAAGAAATTAGATCATATATCGTTTAGGTCACGTATCATGTGAACAATAATTTGAAATTCTTCTATAATACATTTTTTATTTTAAAAAAAAACCTCTTGCATGTTATGTAAAAAATATTGATTTTGTTCACATGTTCAAACTATTAAATATATATAAGTTTTATTTAAAGTTTTTATGTATCATTTAGAAAGAAAAAAAAAATAATAATATAGCTTTACTTGTTTATACGTGCAACACAAAATCTTGAAGGTTACCTGGGGGATTCATAATTCAACTAATTAAGCAACATAGAAAGATAACGACAAATAAATGGATCATGATTCAATGATGTAGTAAGAAAAAAAAAGATGTAGTATTTTTTAATCACAAGAGGTTTTGATAATTAATTTAACATTAAACTAATTTTATTTAGAAACGAGCTGGTCCTTTTTATAATAAAGTGATATTTATAGTTGTAATTTCATTTATAATTTAAAAATCAAATCCCAAAATCTTAAAGATATAAGTGTGGAACCAGTTATCTCAACTCAACCACTTATGAAATATTTTATGCAATGCATCTTCACCTACTTCTCCACTATTTTGCCTCTGGTTATTTAGAATGCATAAATGACATGTAGCAGAAGTTTTTATTCACGTAATTATTCTTTAATTTCATGATTTTTGAAATTGTTCTAGTAGTGTTTTTTTTAAGTTGTTTTTGGAATGTTATTTAAAAAATATATAATTACTCGTTAAAAAAATATGAGTCTCGTATTGTTTTAATTAATAAACCTCTTTTCAACGTGATACTTTAACTTATTACTTAAATTCTCAATAATCTCTTTTTAATTATAATTCTCTCATTTATAAATTACTTAACATTCTTATTTCTAATTAATATAAAACTTTAAATTCACATTTGAAATTTTACTTATACCATAGTTCAACTCAATAAATTTAAAACTTTTATAAAAAAAACTTTTAATATAAGGATTTACATTATATATTAAGGGTGTAATTCTTTCATGATTACCTTTATTTTTTTTTTAAATAAAAAGCGTGAAAAAAGTTATTAAAAAACTATAACGAGGGAGATTGCCTTAAAAGTGGAAAGATTAAAAATATTTCATTATTCAAATAAAAAATAACTAAGAGACTCAATATACAAACGAAAAATCAAAATTACACATCTTTAAGAGAAAAAAATCCTAAAACTAACCAACAAATCTCAATATCATATTTAAGGTTGAGGTTATAAAATCACATTCATCGTTATTTCTTGAATTGATACACATGGTTCAAAGTATTTAAAAAAAAAAACTATTTTAATTACCCAGTATATTTATTTTTATTAAAATAAAAAAATTGAAACTTGAGACATAAAACTAAGTGTCCAGTTGTCGATGTTAATGCTATGCTAGGGAAGAGCTAAAAAAAATAACAAATAAAAAATATATATAAAAAAATTATATATTAAGAAAGGTACTTATACATAGGTGTATTTTTTATTTTGTTAAAATTATTATTAAGTTTTTTTTCTCTTAATCTTATATATATTAGAATTCGTTTAAGGTTATTTTATAATAAATTTGTGTGTAGTTAAGAAGGTATAAATATATCACTTGAATTAAGAAGTAAATTATCACCTCTTAAAATCTTAGATCCATAATATATATATATATATATATATATATATATATATATATATATATATATATATATATATATATATATATATCCTTTTAAACAATACCGTCTTTTGAAAAAAAATCAAATTTTTTTTAAAGAGGTGTATAACTTAAAATAATAATAATAATAATAAATAACGAGGTTCGTTTTGTTGTTCACTTCACTAATTTTTGAGAAAGAAAAGAGGTTGGCTTTCTTATGTTTGTACTGAAAGTCTTCGATTTTCCTGCGAATTCAATCTGTGTGTTGAAGGTAGTGATTGGTTGCTTCTTCTTTTCTCTTTTATATCTGGTGAAGCCAATGGTCCAAATTCATCAACCTACCTCCTTTTTTCTCTTATTGGAAAGAGGTTTGGTGGTGCATTTTGTTCTTCAAACACAGTACATATCTAGATCTAGTGCCATTTTCTTATGATCTTTTTTAAAAAATAAAAAAATACAAAATTGTCTGTTAAGATGCCAAAGTAATATAAATTAAGATACATTTCAATATATTTGATTAATTATGTTTGTAAATCATAATGTAATGTTTTATTTTTCCAACTATTAATTTATTATATAATGTAATTGGTTAGTATGAATATATTAAAAATAATGAGTTTTTTTTTCCTTTTTAAATGTCAATTGTTCATGATATGAGCCAATAGAAGACCATATATAACCAATCACGGGCCCTACATAATCTAATTATATGTTTTGTTTACCAAACGTGTATAGTTTATTATGTGGACTCACAATTTGATAAAATCTGCCTAAATTGTATAATGTAATAAATAATTCAAAAAACATTATGATATTTTTTATATAAGTGTATATATTATTAGAAATTATATCATAATCAATGATAATAAGACATTATCAATTAATAATGATGAGATGATCGAAGGTTTAGTTACATGATCTTTGCCAAAATTCATCGCAAATCTTTCCACTGAGTTAAAGCTGTATAATTTTATACATTTAAAAAAAAATCCTCCTACTATTTTTAAAACAAATAATAAATAAATGTGAATGTATTAAATAATTTAAAAAGACACGTTGAATAATTTAATAAACTGATTATGATACATTTATCTTCTGGATTCAATTTGATTCACCAACAAAGAATTTACTTTGAGTCACACCCATTCTCCTGGAATGATAAGACAATTAAGACATTTCTTAGATTTTACCTACCCATGATTTCACCAGAATCATCACAAACCTAAACTCATTCAAATAATTCATGTATCAAAACCGTCTAACTGTTTCATACATGAACCATTACAGTGTCAATTAATTGCTGTATTTATTTTACACAAAAAAGAATTATATATTTCAGCAAATATTTATTTATCTATATTTACTTTTGTGAAATCGACAGCATTAAAATATGCAGACTCAAGTAACACGTGGACAAATGAGGTGTAAAATACATTGAAGAAAATTGTAAATGTAAGAATGTGGAAGGATAGGAGGGTAGGTGTGAGATTGACCGAACCGCCTCAAATACCATCCATCCATGAACCCATTCTATCCATCATCATCATCATGAATTGTAATGCAGTTTCACTAGACATTTCCTCACCCTCCTAACTCCCACTGATAACAATATATAAACCCCTTAACCACCCCTATTTTCTCTCAGCTTGAGGTTCCCTTCTCCAAAGAGAACACCAAGCTTCACCTAATCCACTCCAATTCTTCTCATTTCAACTTTATTTTTCTCGTAATTCTTCTTGCTTTAGTCTCACATCGATATGCAAATTCTTTCGCCCCCGACTTCCAACGCGCTCAATCTCAAGCACGTTCTTCGCACGCGCAGGCTCGGACCAACCCGAGTCTCTGTGAAATGCGCATACGCATTTGAACCAGCGAGCTACGGAGTCGGCTCGAGCAGAGCCGATTGGCAAAGCTCCTGCGCCATCTTAGCCAGTAAGGTTGTTTCTCAGGAACAATCGCCCTCCGCTGACAACGGCGGCACCGCCGACCACGTGGCTGCAGTCAATGGCCACAAAGCAGCCGTCAGCGACTTCCAACTTGTTCCAATCGGAAACCTCGCGGAGGCCAACAACAAGCCGCTCCCGCCGAAGCCGCTGACAATCTCTGACCTCTCCCCGGCGCCTATGCACGGTTCGAAACTCAGAGTCGCGTACCAGGGCGTTCCCGGCGCGTACTCAGAGGCCGCTGCCGGAAAGGCTTATCCGAACTGCGAAGCCATCCCGTGCGACCAGTTCGAGGTGGCGTTCCAGGCGGTGGAGCTATGGATCGCCGACCGAGCGGTTTTGCCGGTGGAAAATTCCCTTGGCGGTTCGATCCACCGCAACTACGACCTCCTCCTCCGTCACCGCCTCCACATCGTAGGCGAGGTCCAGCTCCCGGTTCACCACTGCCTCCTCGCTCTCCCCGGCATCCGCAAGGAGTTCCTCACGCGCGTGATTTCGCATCCGCAGGCGCTCGCGCAGTGTGAGCACACGCTGACCAAGCTTGGCCTCAACGTGGCGCGCGAGGCCGTGGACGACACCGCCGGCGCAGCGGAATTCGTCGCCACGAACGACCTCCGCGACACCGCCGCCATCGCAAGCGCACGCGCGGCGGAGTTGTACGGCCTGAACGTGATGGCGGACGGCATTCAGGACGATCCAAGCAACGTGACGCGCTTCGTGATGCTGGCGAGAGAGCCTATCATTCCCCGCACGGACCGTCCTTTCAAGACGAGCATTGTTTTCGCGCACGACAAAGGCACCTCCGTGCTTTTCAAAGTGCTTTCCGCGTTTGCGTTTCGGAACATCAGCTTGACAAAGATCGAGTCGCGCCCTCACCGCAACCGTCCGATTCGGCTTGTCGATGACGCAAATGTGGGAACCGCGAAGCACTTCGAATACTTGTTTTACGTTGATTTTGAGGCTTCTATGGCTGAGGTTAGGGCTCAGAACGCTCTAGCGGAGGTGCAGGAATTCACCTCCTTCTTGCGTGTGTTGGGGAGTTACCCCATGGACATGACACCCTGGGCTCCTTCTTCCCGTGGAGATTAGCATTCCCCTTCCTCCTTATTTTCTCTTTAAACAATCATTAAATGTCTCATCCATTCTGAATTTTGTGAATAAAAAAAAAACAAAACCTCATTATTTTAATTCTCTCTTACTTCCTTACATCATGTAGTTTCATTGCTTTCACTTTTGTTAATTGCGTTTTTTTTTTTTTTTAATCTGAAATCAAGATAATTGATGGTGGGTGTGATAAAGTAATAGGGAAGTAGGTTTAAAGTTTAAAGGCCTTTGACATGATTGTATCTGCATCCAAGTACATATTGTGGTTGGTGAATATTTGATGATTCTACATGTGAGAAAAAAAATGCACATATGAGGGTGTGTGTTCGATTGATGACGAGTGATCGATCATCCATCTTGTCATTTTCTTTTCTTTTTTTGGTTATTGTCATTTTCATTTGGTTGAAATGGCCCTTACGTATATTCTGAATTTTTCTTTAGCTTTTCATTACCATTCAATACATTTTAAACTATAAATGGCTCATTCAATCGAAGAAGAGCTAGAGTGTGAGAATTTATGACGTTAAATATTTTTTTATAAGTAATTGTTTAAAAACATATTTTAAATAAAGTATATTATTTTAATATGAATTTTATCTAAAAATTAAAGTAACTTCAACCTAGTTCTAAAAACTCGTCGAAATGATATATTTTATTTGTAAAAACTTTTATAAATTATTGTAATCAGTTCATGCTCTAAGACTATATTTATAAACTAATTTTTCTCATATTTTAAAGATATTTTTATTTTTGTTTTTTTGTGTATGCAGGATTTCTGTCTTAAATAAAGTAAGGCTTTTTTTAATTTTGAATTTCTTTAAATAATTTATTATATATTAATAAATCACAAAGCAAATTTTGAAAATTCAAATAACGGTTATATTTTAAATTTATTATATTAATTTTAATTACTATTATATGCTATTATCTCTCTTCCCTTTTAAAAATTATTATATACTAATACGTAATGAAAAAAATTATAAAAACATATCACATTAAACATAATATAAGTTACAAAAATAAATTTTATAACATTTGGATCACTTTGGCGCCATAGTAGCTGTGTTTCTACAATTATTTAGCGTACGAATGTTTGGAGGTTTTCAAAATTTCTGCTTCTTTAATGTTTTCAAGTGACTTTTTTGAAATAAAGTGAAACAATAAAAAGATGGGCTGAAAGTTACGGCATTTATTACTTTTGTTTTATATAAATTTAGGTATGTCCATCACTCTCATATCTCTTTTTCTTTTGTATTTTCTTAGTACCTTTTAAGAATGTTAATTTTTTACCATTTTGTTTTTACAATTAATTTTTACAAACTCTTGATTGTGTAATGATTAAATAAACTCTAAAATAGTAAATGAATCATTTTATCTTGTTGACCGTATTAAGATAGTATAATTCAATTAAAATAATTTATTGAGTAAATAAATCTGATTAATATATAAATTTCATGTTAAAGAATAGACTCAGAGCTTGAGGGTTTCTTTGAACTTTTTTTTCTGTCCTTTTTATAAGAAAAAAATTAAAAAAATGAAATTAGATTTTATATGTTAAGGTATAATTAATTAACGTATGAATCAATTTAGATAAGTTTGTTCATATAATACTTTTAAAGTTAACTTTATTTTTTTTTCAAGTATTATGCTTATTTTTTAATAGACAAATTTAAGTTTCAATCTGGATTGTTAACTTTTTTAAGTCTTATTTTTATATGCATTTAACAACCTTCTTCTTTTTAAACTTAAAATTGAGATGGAAATCACAATATTCCTATGTAGAAACTATGCCTAATAACTTTTTGCTTTTTTATTGAGAATGAGAAAGTCTTCGAGTTATTATTATGCACAAGTAAAAGTAAGATGTGGAAATGCAATTATTATAGTGGCCCATAATCTGCTGAGACAGCTCATGAAAGTGGCCTTTTTTCCTGTTAAGAGATGCTTCATGCGGTAAGTTTTAAGTTCATTAACGTTGTGTTATTTTCCATTTGATATATTATTTACCCGCAAGAACTATAATTGTTTTGGATTTGTTTATATATAAAGCGAGAAAAATTCCTCACATTTTGCAATATACCTATAGCAATTTAGTTATTTTTAATTTTTTTATCATTCACATTAATAAATCATTCACAATTTTTTACTAATTTTTCTTTTATTTCCTTATATATTTTTATTATTTTTCCCTTAATTAAACAATATTACTTTCATTTTTTTTCTTCTACCTTAATAATTTTTCATTTTCTCAAATCCATCGTCTTATCTAAATAAAATACAAACATAAAATAAAAACGATTATTTAATAATAATTTATTAATATTATTTTAATTATGTATTATTAAAAAATTGTAACATAATTGATTGATATCAACAATATATTTTTTTTTCATTATTCTTCATTTTGAAAAAGGAAAGACAAGGTTGAAGATGTGATTTAAAAATGAAATGTATCTTTTTTATTAAAAAATATATTTTTTTTGCGTCACAAACTTTGAACGTGAGACTCACCGGCTTTATTTTCATTTTTTTTTCTTCATTCCAATCCTACCAAACCATCCTTATTTTTTGAAATTTCACTCTTTTCATCTATCATTCCTTTTCTCCGTTTTTATTTACACCCTACTAAACATAACCTAAGGCATATAAAATTTTAAGATTTGCGATTGTGATGCGTGTTAGATACAGAATATTTTTAATTTCATAAATACACGTTATGGGATGAAACCTATATACTTTTTTTGAACTTAATATCTAAAAGGACTAATTGCACATGCAATAATTTAATTGGAGTAAATTGCAACTGTATTTTTATATTTACTATATATATGTACATTATTTCTACTGTTTTAAAAAATTATGAGATGAATACTTGTTTGAATATAATATTTTAAAATATTAATTTGACCCTAAATAGTTTCAATTATATTTTTAGATGTTTTGTCTCGTGACTATAATATCGTTATAAAAGAACCATCGAAAATGGTGATTATTACGTTTGAGAATCTTTAGCGTACCCAAAATATAAAATTTTCGCATATCATAATTTATTCTACCCTTAAATTGAAATCATTAAAGATAGATTATGTATTATCTAGTTAACAACATAAATTATCATCCTTATATACTGATAGCTTCATAGGTAGTTTGATGAAATAAGTTACTTATAAAATATACTCCAACACTCAAAGTCCACAATTATATGAGAATATGAAAGAGAGTAATAGTCAATAGAGAACATACATTGTATTCTCATTTATTTATAGTATTTGGGATGTGTCTTCTTTATGATATTCATTCTTCTTCCTATAATACTTTGCGTAACTACAGTACATATCATAATTCATAGAGCTACATTATAACCATCATTATTTAATGAAATGAAAAGAAAAAAAAAATATATATATATATATACTTATTATTTTGAAACTATAAATCACGATAAAATTGAAAAAAATTAGTTGAAATTTTTAATAAAAGCAATTTTAATAAAAAAACAATAATAAAATTTATTCATTTTTTTTAAAATATAATTTTTTTAATTATTTGTATTTATCTCATTTTAAACACTTCAATTTAAAATAATAATTTTTTATATAATTTTATCTTACTTATAATTATTATCATTTTCACTCTTAAATATTTTATATTTATAATTGTAATTATAATTTACAATAATTAGATAATAATTTTAATTTATTATATATGTTTTATATTATACAAGTATTATTTGTATAATAAAAAAAGAACAACTTTTATTTTTTATTTTTTTATGTTCATAAAGTGAAATGACATGTATTTTATGTATGTGCTCATGTTAACTTGTTCACATGTTATGAGTTATTCCTCTTCTACAATGGAATACTTGAGCTAGTGATCATATATGGATGATATATTATTACCAAGATAGACAAGTATAACCTCAATTCAAAATAAAATCATATTTGTATTTTGATCTTTACTACCAAATCTGAACCAACCTTTTACCATGATTTCACAACCATTTTTTTTTTTTTTCATTGTCCAAATTAATTTCAGTGACGACAAAAATAAAGAGATCTTTATAATTATTTTTGCTTGGCCCACTCTTTAGCGAGTTCATGCCTCAAAACAAGTGGGGGCACCAGCAGTGGGACACACGCACCACAACTTGCACGATGAAAGCGACATGTTGAGTGTTACCCCCAAATAACTACACTATGTCACTGACCTAATGTAGTAGGTTTTAATTATTATAAAACTCGAGTAATCAAGCGTAATTAAGCTTCAAAATAAAACCAAAGTAACCTCTTCACAATGCTCACCAACCCAATGTGTAAGATGTCGCCACAATTTTCACGATTCAAGATTGATTGCTAAAGCAAGGCACAAGTCAAAACTTGAAGTGCACAATGACTTGACTTGTTGTTGCCTTTTTTCTCACCTTTGCACCAACCAATTGAAATTTTTACAATCCACTCTTTGGACCTTACAATATTTTTTAAAAGCCACCCTTTACGAACGCATCAACCCAAAAATAATTAACAATTATAATAAATTATGATTTCATCATTCAGAAGATTCTCTTTCGTACTCGTCTTTTCTTTTTGAGAGTTTATCTTGGTTTTTTTATTTCAAGAGAAATTTCACTATTTGAAGCCATGAATGAACCAAGGCAAAGAGAACAATGGTTTCAAAATAGGACGAATTATTAATCTATATAAAAAACCTGCCTACTCGAGAATTCAATTAGCTTCAATTTATCTAATTAAATTTAATAAATTTTTTATAATATAAAAAATATATAATAAATTTATCATTAATAATATTTTTTATAAAAGAAAAAATAACAGTAAAGATTAGTATTATGATAAGCATAAATTATAATAAAAATTATAAATATAAACTGTAAGCTAAAAATATAATAAATAATTATTATTTAAAATTGATATAATTTTTATGAGATAAAAAATAAAAATATATTATATTTTTATAAAAAATATATT